CCTCTGCCTCGCATGACCACACAGGTCTTGGGCCCCAGTACCACATGTGGGGGAACCATATGATCCCTGCACAGAGCCAGGAATAAGCCCTAAGAACAGCCAGGTGTGTCCCCAAAACCAGAATCAAAACTACAACAAAATAAAACCACGAAGACTTAGAAATTAAAGCTGGTTGTTGGACCATAACAAATTGATGGGAGTATAAAGCGCTGCAACCACACCGGGGAACTCTGGCAGTATTCTACAGCTTAAGATACCAGTTATCCTAAAGACCCAGAAATTCCATCCAGCCAGAAAGAAGTTCATGCGCCAGATAACAGTAACACTGCATCTAAGAGTTCAAAGAGAAGAAACCCATCAGAAATAACCACCCACAGCAACATCAGTATAGTGCTGTCCTACCCAGGAATATTCTGTAGCTAAAGAAAAAGAAACAATACTGTATTCTTTGCTGGTAAATACCAAAAACTGAACATCAAGTTGAAAGCTGACACAGAAGATAAAGATTTATGTTTAAAAAAATAACTGCATATATGATTCCATTTCTTTAAATTCAAAACCAGAGGCCAGAGGACTGGTACAGGGTTCAAGGTGTTTGCCTTACCTGTGGCCTGTTACAGTTTGATCCCTGGCACTGCACAGTTCCTTGAGCACAGAGCTGGAAGTAGACCCTAAGCAGTGCTGGGGGTGCCCACCTCCCCCCAACAAAAACAATAAAGCCAAAACCATGTCAAACTATACGACATATTCCTATGCTTTCTTGGGAAAAGAAAAAGTGCTATTTTCAAATAATCATTTTGCTCCAGTTTCCAATATTTATATCTTTTGCTTCTTTCTGCAATCACTCATTTTGTGTATTTGTATTTGTAGCTTATGTAACATACCAGTTCCTTTGGAAACACCTTCAGGGTAGCAGTGATTTTGACTTATCAGTTTCCTGATGCTGTATGCCATAATTCTATATATAATCTCTGTCTCTGTCTCTGTCTCTGTCTCTGTCTCTGTCTCTGTCTCTGTCTCTGTCTCTCTCTCTCTCTCTCTCTCATTTGCTCCTCAAAAAAGCACCAAAAGACTGGGGGCTGGAGCAATAGTACAGAGGGTAAGGCATTTATCTTGCACATAGCCAACCCAGGTTCTATCCCCAGCATCTCATATGGTCTCATAGACCATGAAGAATAATTTCTGAGCATAGGGTTAAGAGTAGGCCCTGAGCATTACTGAGTGTGGCCCAAAAACAAAAGAAAGGAAGGAAGAAAATAAGGAAGGAAAAAAAAGAAGGAAGGAAGGAAGGAAGGAAGGAAGGATGGAAAGAAGGGAGGGAGGGAGGGAGGGAGGGAGGGAGGGAGGGAGGGAGGGAGGGAGAAAAGGAAACGAAAAACATAAGGGGAGAGTACCAAAGAAATAGTACAAGGGTTAAGGTGCTTGCCTTGCAGCCAACCAAGTTTGATCCCCAGCACCCCCCCCCAGCACCCCATATGGTCCCCCGAGCCCTGCTAGGAGTCTGGAGTCAGATCTCTGAATGCTGAGTCTGGAGTAAAGACAGGTGTTACCCCAAAACAAAAAGAAAAAAGCCGTTAGGGCTAGGGAGATAGCTGAAGGACTGGAGTGCTGGCATCCTGGGCTCACCTCTCCCCACTCTGCATTCATGGTCCGGCCCCCTGAGCTGGTAGTAGCCTCAGTCCCCAGCACTGTGTGGTGTGATCCAAAAACAGGGGGCCAGAGTGACAGCACAGTGAGGAAGGCATTTGCCTTGCACGTGGCCTGACCTGGATTCTATCCCCACCATCACTTATGGAAACCCCCCCCCCCCCCCCCCCCCCCCCGCCCAGCCCCGCCAGGATAATTCCTGAGTGCAGAGCCAGGAGCAACCCCTGAACATCGCTAGGTGTGACCACCCCCAAAAAGGGCAATAATAATAATAATAATAATAATAATAACCCATTTAGAAATAATTTTGCCCAAACCAAAAACCAGCAACGCAAACCAGTCTCTCTCCCAAAATCTTTCTGAAAGTTTCCATTAATGCTGCTTCTTGCCTCACTTTCTTCACACCCATGAATTAAGCAAATATTGATTAGTGACTTTGTTCCTTCTCTGAGTTCTGGGGGGCATCCCATAAAGCAGTATTCAGCAGCTCCAGGATTCCCTGAATGTCCAGGTCCCAGGAGGTGCCACAGCATGTTCCGGCAGTGGTCTTTGGGGTGGCCAAGGCACCAACAGACGGAAGCATCCTAATCTCCACTGAGGAGCCGGGAGCGACTGGGACTTGCCTCAGGCTCACTGATCGTTAATCAGAGCACAGAGGGTGATCGACCTGGCCTTGGTGACCTTGGACAAGTTCATCAGCTGCTCATTCCTAGAAGCCCTTATCTAGGAGCTGGGGCAGACATAATATAACATCTGAGACCAGAGGGTAATGTAGATGTCAGAATTCTCCAGATTTCTCTGGGCCTCACCCTGATGGCTGGCTAGTAGACTGTGGTGTGTGTGTGTGTGTGTGTGTGTGTGTGTGTGTGTGTGTGTGTTTCACTTGAGGCCACCCAGCTAGTGAGGGGTGTTGGCAAAGATTCAGCCCCAGATTCACTCAGGCCTAGAAGGGCTGGATGAAAGGAGCTTGAACTCCGGTTCCTGCCCTGCCCCTGGGGAACCCTGGAGAAGCAAGACTGGGCAGCGCTGAAGGCCCCCACCCACGTGTCTGACACTCCAAGGAGCCAGCTGGGCACTCAGCTGTGGGGGCAAACTGACGGGAATTGGGGGGCAGCTGAGGGCGTCTGGGTTGGAAACAGCCAGCCCTATGCTGGGCTCTAGCTCAGAAGCGAACATGGCCCACGTAGTTCAGATCCTTGATGTCCTTCCTACATTTTCTGTGGTCCTCGGAGGGCAGCCTAAACTCTGGGGTCAAATCCTGCTGAGCAGGGATAGGAGGGTAGTAATAGACTCCTCCTTTGGCCCCGCTGCCCTGTAGGATCCCCTCAGCTCTGCCCTGGGGCCCCAAGGGGTCAGGGCATCCTCCCCCAGCACCAGGATCCCCTTTGGGAGCCTGGGGGTGGGGTGGGGAGCCGCTGCTTCTCCCTGACAAAGGCTGGGTGCTCTCCTGCGGGGCACACTAATCAGCCCATTGTAAAAGCCTCCCAATCCACATCCACTTTCTTTGGGACTCCCGCTAGCCTTGCCAGATTTAGCAAATAAAATACAGGATTCCCGGGGAAATGTGAGTTTCAGTTTGACAAGCAACGCTGTGTGAGTGTGGCTAGTATGAGAGTCTGTCCCATGTTCAGGGCTTAGTTCATGCGAATTGCTCAGTAGGTGGGTGGCCACTGAGACTCTCTAAATCCACATTCAGGTCAGGGAAGTTCAGGAAATTGGGAGACTTGAGCCCCAGCCCTTCTCCCAAGTCTGAGTATCTGAAGCAGTCCACCTGGCTAGCTTCAGGGGAAGTAGTCTGCGGAAATAGTCTTCGGGTGTGGCAAAACTTTGGAGTGGGAGGGGCCAGCAGGCCTCAGACAGGTACCAACCTGAACTGGGGGCTTGTCTCTCCCTTGAGTCTCAACTTCTCTGACTACCATGGGGGATGGGGCAGCTGGAGGACCCTTTAAATGATCCAAATAAAGGAAAGATATTTTTCTCTCTTCTTTCTCTTCTTCTTTTCCTCCCTCCATCCTTCCCTCCCTTCCTTCCTCTTTCTTCCTTTCTTTCTTTCTTTTTTTTCTTTCCGCCTCTTCTTTCTTCTTTATTCTTATTTTGGTGTCACCTAGCAGTGCTTAGGGCTTTCTCCCAGTTCAGAGCTCAGGGATCTCTCCTGGCAGGCTTGGGGAACCCTATGTGTGCTGGGAATCAAACCACATGCAAGGCAAATGTTGTGGGGTTGCAACTAAAAGATGACCAGAGACCCAAACACTAGAACTTGGAGGCGTCTTTATTGATATCAGCTGGCCAGCTGTCCTGCTAGGCGAGAACAGCGACCTCACAGCAGAAGCACTGGCCTTTACTGGGAAAAACCACATCCTGGTGCCCAAGGGCTTTCGTAAGCATTTTCATAATTTGTTTGAGCACTCCCCCCCCTCCCCCCCCCCCGTGCTTCATAAGTTCACGCAAGCGCAACAACGCAATCATTGTTACAGAGCCCCAAAAAGCAGTTACAGCAGGAGTCCATGAAGCAAACAAATCAGTCACCTTAAGCCATATCCCTTTAGGACCCCAACCCATTATTCCTGTTTGCAACCTGTGACGGGCTTGCTGGCCCTTGTGGGAAGTTCAGGGGACTCATAGAATCACACAGTTAAATCAGCTACAAAAATAAACTTCTAAAAAACTAAACTTGTTCCTCCTCCTTTTAGTCTCCTTTTCCCACAAGCACCCTCGGGGCCTGCTGTATAGCTCTGGCTCCCTGGAGACATTTCGTATTACTAAAAAGCCATCCTTGCAAAGGGGCCCGCAGGCACCAGGATCTAGAACGGCTCCCCCCATGTCAGCCCCACCCAGAACAGTGGGAAAACACAGTGCTTCCGAAGGCTGTAAGCCCAGCACTGAAGCAGCCCCCTAGGACCCTCAGCACCAGCCCAGATTCTTGGCCCCACATTACAGGTCCCTGAGCACTGGGATAACGTGGCAACAAAGCCCCCCCCCCTTGCCCCAGCAAACAGCAACCCCCCCCCCCCCCCCCCGTGCTCTCAGTGGCTGGGAGGTGGGGATCCAGCAGAGAATGAGACCCCCACCTCTTCCCAGGAAAACAAGAGCTGAGAGCTGTGATTTGACCCGGTCCCCAGGCCAGACAGCCCTTAGAGCCTTGTCCAGACAGCCCCCTCCTCTCCTCACTCCCAGGGCCCTGTCTGGCCGCTGACTCCCAGGAGGTCCAAGGGGTGTGTCCTCCCTCCCTTCCCCCCAGGGGCTGCTATAAAGCTGGCCCAGCCTGGCTCTCTGCCGCGCCCTCACCCCGCTGGGACCCTCGCCACCCGCCCATGGGACTCTGCTCTGCTCCTCCTGCTCCCCAGAGCACTGCCATGAGGCTGTGGGGGCTCTGCTGGACCCTCTGGGTGCTGGCCAGCCCAGGGGCGCCGCTGACCGGGGAGCAGATCCTGGGCAGCCTGCTGCAGCAGCTGCACCTCAGCGAGGTGCCTGTCCTGGACCAGGCCGAAGTGGAGCGGCTGGTGACCCCGGCCCACGTGCGGGCCCAGTATGTGGCGCTGCTGCAGGGCAGCCACCAGGCCCACTCCCGCGGGAAAAGGTTCAGCCAGCACTTGCGAGGTGAGGATCCCTTGCTGCGCCAGGTCCTGGGGGCGGCCGAGCGGGACTGCCCATCTGGGGGGCGGCATCAGGGAACCACACTCATGGGGTGGCAGGAGGGCTGGGCCAGGGTCCTTGTGTCATCTGCATGGAGACCCCCTCCCCCCAGGCCAGGCTGTGCTCCTGCCAAGGCAAGAACAGAGTTGCATGGAGTAGCTGAGAGGGAGAAGGAGGAGAAAATACGGTGCAGGGGAACTGCCTGTCGGGGGGGCAAAAGGCTGGTCACCTCAGAAAGCAGGACCCTAGAGACGGGGTGTCTGGGGTTCTCGGTGCTGACAATTGTGGTCTAACGTTGAATAGAGTTTCTTGGCATCTGTTGACTTCTCTAGAAAAGAGGTCGAATGAATTAGCTCTGGTTTCTTCCCAGAGTTATAGGCATATGAAAAGTGCTTTTATAAAGTTCTCTGGACCAAAACAAACAGGAAAACCAGCCTGTGGGAAGTGAGGTAGTCATGGCTCCTGACCGGCCTCTCACCTCCCTGGGGCAAGTTTCGAGTTAGGCCCTACCCAAGGGCACCTAGACCCTGACGGTGTGAGGCATCACCTCCACAGGTGACTTCAGGGGGGTCTGGGGGTAGATGTGCAGGAGACTAGGCTCTCCAGTGCAGGCTGAGGTGTTGCCTGAAGTCACTGAGGCAGAAGTTGGCCAGTCTCTGCCTCTCCACACCTGGGGCCCTTTCGAGCTGCTTCCAGGGCGCTGCAGTCTCTCTTCTTTCCTGTTTTGGGACTTTTCACTGAGCATAAGTTTCCTCACCAGAGCAGGGGAAATTGGGTGGATTCAGCACTTTCTCTGCACCTGAGGGAGCTCCTCTGCTCTCTTCTCCTCCCCTCTTTTCTCCCCTCCTCTCCCCTCTCCCCTCCCCTCCCTTTCTCTTCTCTTTCCTCTCCCCTCCCTGCCCCTCCCCTCCCCTCCTTTCCCTTCCTTCCCTCCCTCCCTCCCTCTGTTCCTTGTTTGCGGACCACACCCAGCTGTGCTGTGGGTTTACTCCTGGTTCTGTGCTCAGGATCACTCCTGATAGTGCTCTGGGGTCCATGTCTGGTGCTGGATCACACCCTGGTGTGCCACACGCCAGGCAAGCACCTTAACCCTTGCTCTATCTCTCCCGTCCCTGAAAACAATTTTAAGGTATGGGGTCAGGTGTGCTTCTGTTCTGACCCAACGGGTTCCCAGCTCCCCAGTTTTCCTTATAGAATCCTGGGTAAATGCTGGTCATTAGCTCCGAGCTGCCACTCGGGGCTCCCCTGGCGCCCGGGAGCCCCCTGACCCTCCCGTGTCCCCTTTCCCCGCCCTCCAGAGGTGGCAGGCAGGTTCCTGGTGTCCGAGGCCACCAGCTACCTGCTGGTGTTCGGCATGGAGCAGCGGCTGCCGCCCCACAGCGAGCTGGTGCAGGCCGTGCTGCGCCTCTTCCAGGAGCCCGCGGCCAGGCCGGCGCTGCGCAGGCACGAGCGCCTGTCCCCGCGCGCCGCCCGCGCGCGCGTCACCGTCGAGTGGCTGCACGTCCGCGCCGACGGCTCCAACCGCACCTCCCTCATCGACTCCAGGTGGGCAGGGGCGGCCCCGGGCTGCGGCCGGCGGGGGCGGGGCGGGCGGCTGGGCCCCGCAGGGCGCGGGCAGAGGCCGGCCGGGCCCCGTGGATGGACGCCCCGACCCTGAGCCGCCCCTCCTTGTGCGCGCCCCGCAGGCTGGTGTCGGTCCACGAGAGCGGCTGGAAGGCCTTCGACGTGACCGAGGCCGTGAACTTCTGGCAGCAGCTGAGCCGGCCGCGGACGCCGCTGCTGCTGCAGGTGTCGGTGCAGCGGGAGCACCTGGGCCCGCACGCTTCGGGCGCGCACAGGCTGGTCCGCTTTGCTGCCCAGGGCCAGGGCGCGTCGGGCCAGGCCGAGCCGCAGCTGGAGCTGCACACGCTGGACCTCAAAGATTACGGGTAAGCATTGTGGGTCCCAATTTTATGGAGAACCAAACCGATATGCAGCAACATTTCAGGGTGCTGACCCCTAGAATTAATACCTGTTGTCTGTTGGTTGGTTATTTGTAGTTATCCTTCTTACAAAAGCCAACCTTCCTGTGTGATTGGGGGGAGGGTTAGAGCCACACCAGATATTGAACCTCCTACCTGCGAAGCATGCCCTCAGTTCCCCTTAGCTACCTCCCTGGCCCCCTTTTTATTGTTTTTCGTTTGGTTTTGTTTTCTGGCCACATCTGGTGATGCTCAGGGCTTACTTCTGGCTCTGTGCTTAGGCATCACTCCTGGTGTGATTCAGGGGACCATAATGGGGTGCCTGGGATCAAACACAGCTCACCCATAGCCTTACCTGCTGTACTATCTCTTCAGGCTCTGTATTTTGTTTTCAGTGCCAGGGATCTATCCCAGCATCTCCCATGATGCAAGACAGATGCTTCACCACTGAGCCTTTGTTTGTTTGTTGAGGCGGGGGCACACCTGGTGGTGCTTTGCTCCCAGTTCAGTACTGAGGGCTGCTCCCAGAGGTACTCTTGAGACCGTGTGGTAACAGGGATTGAACCCGGACTTCTGCATGGAAATCACATGCTCCAGTCTTTGAGCTGTCTCCCTGCTATATTTATTCATGGTTTAGACTTATTTTTTCATTCACCATTTATCACAGATAGCCAGCTTCTAGAATACAGAGATGGATTCTAAATCTCCCTCCAGATCTCCCTCTCAACACATCCCCTGACCACGGGCCTCCCAGCTGACCTCACACCCCACTTTTTTTGTCTCCACAGGGCCCAAGGCAACTGTGACCCCAAGGCGCCCGTGAGTGGGGGCACCCAACGCTGCTGCCGCCAGGAGATGTACATTGACCTGCAGGGGCTGAAGTGGGCCGAGAATTGGGTCCTGGAGCCCCCTGGCTTCCTGGCCTATGAGTGCGTGGGCACCTGCCTGCAGCCCCCGGACCCCCTGACCTTCAAGTGGCCATTTCTGGGGCCCCGACAGTGTATAGCTTCAGAGACGACCTCCCTGCCCATGATTGTGAGCACCAAGGAGGGGGGCCAGCTCCGGTCCCGGGTGGTCAGCCTGCCCAACATGAGGGTGCAGAAGTGCAGCTGTGCCTCGGACGGGGCGCTCGTGCCCAGGAAACTGGAGCCGTAGGCTTGGGGGGCAGCCACCGTGGGACATGGCTGTGTGTGAGAGAAATGTTGCAGGGCTCCAGGAGAGATGTGGACAATGCAACCACACATGCCCAGCGCTCCGCCCTCTCCCCTTTGCTCTGAATTTGTCTTCTTGACCTCTGGACTCATCTACCATCCTAATTTCCCATGTCCAGGAGTCCCTGGCACTGGGTACCTTCGGTCCCATCTCCTCCTGATGTTTTTCGCTGCACTGTCTCCTAAGCACTTAGCTGGGTAGATTCTGGGACCCAGGACCAGAAACCCCAGTTTGCCTCTGTTTCCTTGACCTGCCCCAGATCTGGATTGAGCTCTGAGACAGAGCTGCCACTTGAGGTGAGGGTCAAGTATGGATCGTTTGTTCCCAAATCCAGATAATAAGGACATTTTGGTAAGAAATGAATAAAACATGTTTTATTCTGTATTTCTCTATTTTACTCAGAATCCTGAAAATTGGGAGGGAACAGAAAGTTCTAGGGATTGTGTTAACCTGATTAGAAAAGTAAGAGGTAAAAACATGTTGGTTAAGGCCGTGGTATAGGAAGTTAAGATTCTAGGGTGCCTATCTCCTTAATATTGAAGTTGAAGGGCCTGAGAGATCGTACGGTGGGCAGGGCACTTGACTTGCACACTACTGACCTGGGTTCAATCCCTGGCATCCCATATGTCCCCCAAGTCCTCCAGGAGTGATATCTGAGTGTAGAGCTAGGAGGTATATATTTTTTTAATTCTTATTAGTGAAACACCATGAGGTACAGTTGTAGATTTACAAATTTTTGTGCTTGGGTTTCTATTATACAATGATCAAATACCCATCCCTCCACCAGTGCCCATTTTCCACCATCATGGATCCCAGTATCCCTCCCACACCCATCCCCCTCATCCCACCCTGCCTCTGGCAGGGCATTTCCTTTTGTTCTCTCTCTAGGAGGTATATTCTGAGCACAGCAGGTATATCCCACCCCCCAAAAAAAGATTGAAATATAAATCTTTTGTATTTCTTTTGTTTGATTTTTGGTCAGACCCAGCAGTGCTCAGGGCTTACTCCTGGCTCTGGGCTCAGGAATCTCTCCTGGCAAGCTTGGGGGACTGTATGGGTGCCAGGGATTAAACCTGTGTCAGCCATGTGCAAGGCAAACACCCTACTCACTGTACAATTGCTCTGTCCTGGAAGTATAAAACTTACAATCATTGTTGACATTTAACTTTTGTGGTGACGTGTTTAACCACAACCAGTGGTACTCGGAGCCTATTCCCTTCTCTGAACTCAGAAGGCATTACTAATGGGGCTCAGGAGACCATAGTAAGTGCAGGGGATCTAACAGTGGTCAGCCTTACCTCCTGTCTCTCTCTCTCTGACCTCAACAATTGACTTCTGGTCAGCAAGTTATGTTTTCTGAAGTAAAAACAAGTTGTCACTTCTTTTAATCTATGAGTAGATGAAGGAAGCAAATATTTAAAATATTAGCTTTGGGCCAGAGAGATAGTACAGAGGGTAAGGCAGTCACCTTGTATGCAGCCCTCCCCGATTTGATTCTTAGCACCACAAATGGTCCCCTGAGCACTGCCAGATGTGGTCCAAAAAACAAAGATAAAGAAAAACATTTAAATGTTGGCTCTAACATCTCAGAATAGCAAGGTTACAGGGATTCTGTTGTGACTTGGGATAGGGTCCTGGTTAGGATACAGAAGCCCTGGAGTCCTTGCCAGTCTGAGGCTCTTACTGGCTGTGAGCTCTGTCTTCTATAAATGGCCATTTTTCTTCTATCCAATAGGAACATGACTTGGACACATGTTTTAGAGATGTGTAAGGAAATGGTGTTTTTACGAGTGCTCTGTGTGCTGCGGGATAACTAAGAAGGGCCCTACCTGGTTATCTCAATTTACAATTTGCTCCATCTTAAACTTGATTCTGAAATAAACTTATTGAAATCAAATTTAGAAATCCCTTGTCTTTTCTGAAATCAATAACCTCAGTCCCTCCCCTCACTTCTCCCACTTCCCCTCCTCCCCCCCACCACCCACTGCCCTTCCTCACCGCCTCCCCCCCTCCCCCCACCCTTGCCCCTGTCTGGTCCCCATTCTGATCTTAGCTGCAACATTACACTTCCCTGGACCCTGTGACAGAGACCAGCCTAGAGCAGGCAGGTGCAGGCCCTGTTGACTGAGGCTGGGGAGGACTCATTTAGGGACCCTGAGAGGTGGTGTGTGGCTCCCTGCAGCAGGGGTGCAGCAGGAGGGAGGGAAGCAGGGCAGTGGGAGGTAGGGCTAAGGGCCAGCTACAGGGGCTGGAGGAGAGGAGGAGTCCGAAACTATGAGAAGAAGGGAACCTCCAGCCCATTCCAGAGAGCCTCGGTTGAGCTGTGAGGAAAACCCCTTTCTTCATCACAGAGCAGATAAAAGGGGGGAGGGGAGGAGGGGGAACTACAAGGCTGGATGCAGGGAGAGAACTGTGGGGAGCTTGCCTTGCACATGGGAGGGGGGGCATCTGGGTTGATCCCCAGAATCCCATATTGCCTTCAGAGTCCCGGCAGGAGTGATTCCTGAGTGCAGGGCCAGGAATAACCCCTGAACACGCTGGGTGTGATTCCCTGCTGCCTCTCTCCCCCGAAAAATGTCTTCGTGGAGAAAGAACAGCAGAGGAAACTCTGGTTAACCTCCTCGTTTCACAAAAGGGGAGTGTTGCCTTCCGCGGAGATGGCAGACACTAGCTTCCCTGTTGCGGGCTCTCTGCTTCCTAGGGTGAAGGGGCCCCCTGAACCGCACCCTGCGTCAGGCCCCCGAACACGATGGGCCAGCTGCTGATTTTAATGGCTCAAAGGAACCGAGGAACCGTCCTAGAGCGTCGTGCTGAGCTGTTGGACCCAGAGGTCTCCGTTTGGGGTGAAAGTACGGAGCCTCGGAGTTTTCACGTGTGGTTGCCGCCAGCAGCAGGGGCCCGCTGCCAGCTCCAGGGGCATCAAAGGCTGCAGGCTGAGCCCAGCGGAGCTCCCAAACTCCGCACCCCAGGGCGGGCCCATAGCGGGCGCTTGTTTCAATTAGAGTTGATCACAAACGTTTGCAGACGCTCTCCCAGCGCGTCCCAGTGCCGCGACCACCCCGTGCTCGGCCCGGGTCTCCACTAGGTGGCCAAAGTATGGAAACGGGCCGGCGGGCTGATGAACTACCCCAGGCGGCGCCTTCCTCGGCTCCGGGGTGCTCACTGCCTGGACGGGGGCTCTGCGGATCGCAGGGACAGATAACCGGGCCAAGCCGCGACCCTTATCCCCATGGGCGGCCAGGCCCGGGCGCCCTATGCTGCGGGGCGCACGGCGCGCGGGGGGCCAGGGCGGCGGCCTGGGCCGGGTGCCCGCGCGCCAGCGGTGGGGAGTCTCCAAATTGGGCAAGCGGTGTCCGCGGCTCTGCGCATGTGCAGGCGGCTCCGGAGTTTCACTTTGTAACTTTTAAGTGGCCGAGAAGCCTCTCCGCCCGCGCGCTGGAGCCAGCCGAGTCCTGGAGCCGCGCCCGCGCCGCAGGTCAGTGCCCTGGGGGAGTGGAGGGGGTGGGCGCCGGGGGGCGGGGCGGGGGTCGCCTTTCCCGGGACTCGCGGGCCACGTCGAGGGACAGGCTCTGGGGCTTCCCTCAGCGCCCGCAGCCCCGGGGAGGGGAGCGTCAGCACCCCCACTTCCCCGCAGCTGTGTAGACCCTGCGACTCCAGTACGGCTTCACCCTTCTCGGGGCTGAAGAACAACTTTTTGCCCCGGCTTTGAGCGCCGACCCGCCCCGCTCCCCTACTTACCTTAGGGATTTGGGGAAGCTGGAGCCGGACCTACCAGCCTACGCCCCACACCCCACCCCTCGGATTGTGGGGAACTGGGTGGGGAAAAGGCGCCCAGCCTGCAGGCGCGGAAACACCTTTAAGCTGAGACCACCACGCCCCGGGGCCTCGGGGCCCCGGGGTCGGGGAGTCCCAAGGAGGGAAGCTGGGGAACGGCCACCAGAAACAGGGGCTGGGGGAACGGGGACTTGGCCTTCAACTGCGAGACCCTAAGACTTCTTCTGCCCTCTCAACCCATCTGGATGGCTCCGCCTCAGCTGTGCGATGTGGAGGTTTGGGATGCCGTCCCGGAGTGCCCTGGCAGCTCCCAGGCCCAGTGTGGGAGGCACCCTAGCGCCCTCATGGAGGGGTACAGACACTCTCATCCGATGAGGAAACTCTCCAGGCCAGGCTTCAGGGGAGAAATTCTCTTTGGTTCTCTTCTCTCCACCTGGCTGTTGCTGCTGGCGGAGATGGGGCTCCTTCCCACAACAGCTTGTCTGCGTTGGGAGCAAAGGTCTCTCTGCTCACTGGCTCAGCTGGGAAGTCTTCAGTGGGGGGTCTGGCTCCTGTCTCCTTTTGGCTTGGAGAAGAGAGAGACTTTAAAGCAATCGACTTGCACTAGATACCACCTCCTCGCCTCTCCCACCACTTTTATAATAATAATAACAATAATAATTAATAATAGTAGTATTTTTTTTGGTCACATTCGGTGATGCTCAGGGGTTACTCCTGGCTCTGCACTCAGGAATTACTCCTGGTGCCGCTCCAGGGACCATATGAAATGCCGAAGATTGAACCCTGGTCTGCCAAATGCAAGGCAAGCACCCTCCCCGCTGTATTAGCACTCTGCACCCTCCCGCCACTTTTAGGGGGAAGGAAGCCAGTGGGGAAGCACCTTGCTAAGCATCAGAGTACAGAGACCCTCACTTAAGAACTTGTGAGACCATAGACTGGAGTGATAACAGTTCCCATGGTTCTACCAGGAGTGATCCCTGAGTGCAGAGCCAGGAGTAAGCCTGGAGCTCCTCAGGGTGTAGCCCCAAAACAAACAACAATTAAAAAAGAAAAAAAGAAGAAGAAGGAAGAGAAGAAGAGGCTGCCTGAGGGACTGCCTGTAGGAAGCATTTCTGGCTCGAAGGTAGAACTAGGCTGGAGGTCAATGGTAGGGCTGCTTCCTTAACTGCATACCAGCAGGGTCTCTGGAAGGGGAGGATGGTGTTTGCTCTACCTTTGGAAGGTGTGTTAGCATCCTGTCTGCCCACTGAGTCTGCTCCTATCTGTTCCTGTTGCTGGTCCTCTCTCCCCTCACTTCTTATCCCTGGGATCAGGGTGGGGGTTCCTCCCTGCCCTCCCAGAGGAGGCCCCTCTGGGGAGATACTGAGGGAACAGGGTTTCTCAGCAGAAGCTGAACTTGTTCAGGTGGGCAGGAAGGGACAACTATGACTAAGCCCAAAAGTGTGCTGTTACCTGGGGCCTTTCCTGGAGGTAGCAGATGGGACAGGCTGCCTGACTGGGGATTTCCTCACTGGGGTGGCCAATCTCAATGGGTTCCTCATTAGACTTTGTATAATTCAGGGAGGCTGCTTGTCTAGGGGGAGTAACTTAGAATGCACTGGGGCTGAAGGTGGACGACAAGCTGTGGAGTCCTGTGTGTGTGTGGGGGGGTGGGTCCTCCCTGGGGAACCTCTGCTCTCCTAATCTGGGCTAAAGCCCCAGGAGCACCCCCTACCCCCCCCCCCCCCACTACCTCCAGCACCATTCCTGCCTCCCCTTCCCAGGACAGTGCTTCCTCTGTGAACACGTCAAGTCAAGAGGATGTTTCTTCTTCTTTCAAGCCTGTTTGTTTGATTCTTTTGTTTTGGGGGCCACACCTGCAGTACTCAGGGCTTACTCCAGTACTCCTGGCTCCGAACTTAAGGACTGCTCTTGGCAAGCTCAGGGTAACATATGGGAAGCTGGGGATCAAACCTGGCTCAGCTGTGTGCAAGTACCCTACCTGCCGTACTGTGGCTCAAGCCCCTGGTTCTCCTGATTCTCACCCTTGGTGTGTGTGTGTGTGTTGGGCAGTGCAGTGCTTGGGAAGCCCCCCCAGTGGAGTCCACAATTGTCAGTGCTTCTGTGCGGGGAGCCCCCTCATAGCAGCAGGGTCCTGAGCTCCCAGAGAGGTTGGGGAGGGGGAGCAGGGAGAAGGCCTTGGGAACCAGTAACAGAAATAAATCTGAGCCTGTGAGGGAAAGTTGTGAATGCAGAGGTGTACCCAAGGGATTCAGGCTGGAACCCCACAAACAGAAAAGGGCCCCTCATATGACTGGCTATCTGTGTTTCTTCAGCTGAGTCAAGAAGACCCATGTGAGAGCCCAGTGAGGGGAGAGCCAACCCCGCAGGACATGAGCAGACCAGAGGCTGTTGGGGAGGAGACCAGCTCCCTCTGAGGAGCCTAGGGGCCCTGCTTCTGCGGCCTTTCCTGGCGGTGAGTGTGGGAACAGGAAGTGAGTCCTGCTGTTGGGGTGGTGCCCAGGGTGGGGCTTAAAGGAGGGAGGCCACGCCCAGCTGTCTCCGAAGGAAGCTTGCCTGGTTCCAGTCACTGTCTCTGGGGAATCTTCCCTGATCCTGGACCTGCTCCCACTTCCTACACCTGTGTATGGGTATGTGTATATGTGTGTGAGAATGTGAATGTGAGAGTGTGAATGTGTGTGTAGGAGTATGTAAGAGTGAGTGTGAGTGTATGTGAGTGAATGTGTGTATGAGAAGGAGTGAATATGTGTGTGAGAGTGTTTTGAGTGTGAGTCTGTGTGAGTGAATGTGTGTATATGTGAGTGTGTATGTGAGTGAATGTGAGTGTGTATGTAGTGAATATGTAGTGAATGTGTATGTGTGTGAGAGTGAAAGTGTGAGGGTGTGAATGTGTTTGTATGGGGTGTGAATGTGTGTGTATATGTGTGAGAGTGAGTGTATTTGTATGTGTGTGGAAGTCAATGTTTATGACTATCAGCTTGTGTGAGTGAATGTGTGTGAGATTGTGAATGTGTGTGTGTGTGTAAGCATAGCGTGCCCAACCCAGAAGTTCCAGGACTTAGAATGGGAAATCACATCACCCCTCTGTCCACTTTTAAAAACCTTTTATTTTTTAAAAATCCTTTATTTATTTATTTAGATTTTTTGTTTGTTTTTTTGGGTCACACCCTGCAGTGCTTAGGATTTACTCCTGGCTCTGTACTCAGGAATCCCTCCTGGTGGTGCTAGGAGGACTATATAGGGTGCTGGGGATTGAACAGGGTGAGCTGCATGCAAGGCAAACACCTTACCAGCTGTACCATCACTCTAGCCCCATTTAGATACTTTTTAAATTTTGATCACCATGAGTAACAGAGTTACAAAGTTATTCATTAATAAGTTTCAGGCATACAATGTTCTAACACCAGTGTCCACTCCCCGACTCCCCAGTTTCCTTTCTGTACCCCAGTCTATCCTAGAGCTGGCACTTCCCCTCCCCCATTGTCCTAGTGTTACCTTTCCTAATTTACCACCCCCCTGCGCCCCCAATCCAGCGGCAAGCTTCCTACTGAATAGTCCTCCTGTTCGTCCTCTCTAAGGAAGAGCATTCCCAGGGAGTTGGGGGTCTCTGTACTGCTTCTTTTCTAGTTTGGGTTTGGTTTGGATCCTTGCAACGGGTAGAAAGGCCAGCCCTAACAGAATCCTTGGTCATCCGGTCTAGCCAGACAGGGGAGCTGAGCTTGTCCCCTGGTCCCGCCACCAGCGTCTAGGGAGTAGGCCCAGCCCAGGCCTCTGACTCAGGGGCCTTGGCCTCGAAGAGAAAAACACTGGAGATTTCCATGAACTTCTAAAGGTCAACAGCTGGCCTGGGGCCATGTTTGCTTTGGAAAAGCTGCACCTTCCAGGGAGACTGAAGGCACCCAAGGATGCAAAGCGAGCCAGTGGAACTGGGGGAGCGCCCTGGGATGAGGGAGTGGCTCAGGGGTTGAGATGCCCTCCTCACCCTGACCAGCCTTCTCTTGGCCGACTGTGTCTCAGTCCCTGCTGCCCCTTCCTGGGACTCTCACTGAGTGAATGTGTGTTAGCTGACAGAAGGCGGGGTGTGGACCAAAGAAAGAAGGGCTTGGGGGGCCTGGAATTGGCTCCCTCACCCTGGGCAGATGGTTTGTTCTCTGAGGCAGGTTCTTCGGGGCAGGTGCCTCCTCTTCCTCACTTGCTTATTCCTGTCCTCGCCTGTCCCATGTTTTGTCCCCCATAATCCCCCATAGTTCCTTGCACTCTAGAAGGCCCTCATGAAAATAACTACCCAGGAGCAGAGCCCCTGGAGGGGGGGGTCCTATCCCATCCTTTGTTCCCCCCTCCCCACTCTGGGGAGGCTGCCAGTTGTGTCCCGGACGAGCCATCTGCTCCATCCATCTGACCCCGAGGACTGTCCCCACAATGGAGCTATTCTCCACACACTGCCTGGCACGCGGGGGACGGGTCTGGCCATCCCAATGGCTGGCTCCTGCCCCCTCCCCCCCCAGTCCCTGGGGGAGAGCACCAGCTGGGGAGACTGACCCCTCCCCCCTGCCCGGTCTATTCTCCAGGGAAGATGGCCGTGCCTACCACCTCCTCGTTCCTGGATCTGTGGTCGTCCCAGGCCGTGTCCACCCACGAGCCACTGGGCCCTGGGAAGCGGCCCAGTGACGTCTACTGCTACAACTCGGCCCAGAACAGCACCGTGCTCCAGGGGGTCACCTTTGGGGGTGTCCCCACCGTCCTCCTCATAGATGTCAGCTGCTTCCTGGTGAGCACCCTGGGACTCATGTCCCCCTACCTTCACTCATCAGCATGTGACTCCCATCTCCAGGAGCAGGGCCAGCCCCATCTGGGGTCCAGTCCCAGCTCTGCTGCTTCTCAGCCAGGCAGGGGAGCCGGGGCCCATGTTGGCTCCGAGCACTTTCTGGCTTCTCCCTGTGAGGGCGAGAGAGGGGTTGGGGAGAGCAAGGGCGATTGCATAGTCCCTCATACTCCTACCGCTACATGGGTCTGTCCCTGGGGTTGAGTGAAGAGTGCGGATTAGAACAAGAGCAGATGGGACTCACAGTTGTGTTTTCTTTTTCTTTTTTTTTTTTTTTTTTGCTGTTTGGGTCACACGCAGTGATGCTCAGGGGTTACGCCTGGCTCTTCACTCAGGAATTACTCCTGGAGATGCTTGGGGGACCATATGTGATGCTGGGAATTGAAGTCGGGTCAGCTACGTGCAAGGCAAATGCCCTACCAGCTCTACTGTTCCTCCAGCCTCAGACTCCCAGTTTATATGATAACTACCCTCCCAAGAGAGAACGTTGGACCTCTGAGACACCAGACTCGAGATGGGCTGGAAAAGGCAGACCCTAGAGGCCAGGGCCATAGTACAGGGGATAGGGCACTTGCTTTCATGGGGCAGACCCAGGTTCAATCCCCAGCATCCCATAGGGTTTCCCATGCACCATCAGAAGTAATTCCTGAGTTCAGAGTCAGGAGAATCCCTTGACCATTGCCAAGTGTGCACTAGAAAGAAGAAAGAAAAGAAAAAGAAAAAGTACCCTCTAGCCATCCGACCTTCCTTTCCTGTAGACTTTTGTTTCCAGGCACCCCCCCAATTTGAAATGTGCCACTTTTGGGGTGCTCATGCAACTTGGATTAAGAGAGTCTTCCTGGGTCAACGTGTCTTCTTCCTTTTACAAATGCTCATGGGACGGGATGGGGCTGGGGTGTTCTTGGTACTTGCTCTAGAGCAGAGTTCATGCTGGTGGGGTGGAAGAATTAGATGCTCTTGGTTTTTTTTAGGGTTTGGGAGTTTGAAACACAGCAGCAGTGCTAGGGATTGCTCCTGCTAGGGACTGAACCAGGGTTGGCTACTGTAAGGCAAGCACTCTAGCCCCTGTACCATCTCTCCAGCCCAGGGGCAGACTCTCACGCTACTAGCCTTTAGTGGGGAGACTGGTAGAGGGGGGGTCTTAGGGTAACATGAGGGTCTCTTTGGGGCTGGATTGATAGGGCAGTGGGGAGGGTGCTTGCCTTGAATGCAGGCAACCCAGTTTCAATTTCCAGTATCCCATATAGTCCCTTGAATACCTGCAGGAATCCTGAGTGCAGATCCAGGGGTTACCCCTGAGCACTCGCAGGTGTAGCCCCAAAACATAACAACACAAAACACAAAACCAAACATAAGAGTCCCCACAGAAAGAAGGAGATCTCATAAACTCAAGATTACTTGACCAAAAAAAAAAAAAAAAAAGTTTATCAGAAGCAATAAGGGACTTCTTCCACCCCTCTGCTGGGATTGAGACTTAAATGACTTCACTTTCTCCCTGGTATTGTTGGGCCTTTATCGGCCAATGTGGGAACTCATATGGGGCTGGTTTGCTTTAGTGAGTTTGCTTTTTGAGGACCAGATCACCCGTGTCTCAGCGCTAAAACCCATTTGCAGGAGAACATGCCCATGGCTGCAACCCCCAAAGCAGAGTGGGGTTCCATGGGGCACCTCTGGTAGCTCCCCATCCTCACAGGTGAGGGTGAGAGCCTGTGGCCGAGCAGCCTGTCTGGGAAGGGCGGCAGGAGTGTGGCAAGTGAGGCAGGTGTCATGGAAGTGTCATGAAGGAGGGAGGGGAGAGCTGGGGCCCAGTGGGAGGTGTGGGAGGATGGGTCCAGAGCATGGAGTTAGGGGAGTCGCTTCCCAGTGGAGGGTTATTGCAGAAAATTACTTGGGGGCACACAAGCAGGTGTGGGCTTGGAAAACACTGACAGGTTGGAAACATTTACAGCCCAGGAACGGGGAGAGCAGCTGCCAGGGCAGACACCAGCTACTCGCTGAGCCACCTGTGCGGTTACCCCAGGACGTGACTCACCAGCCTTAGACAACATGGCACTGACTCTCCCTGGGACCTCCCCTCTGGGCCAGGCCTCTTATTGCCTTTAGGGGAATCCAGCCCACACTAAAAGCCTGGTTCCAGTTGGAGGGGAGGGAGAGGACAGGGCGCAAGGGTAGGACTTTGGCTGCTCACAGGGATTGGACAGCCCCAGGTCCTTGTTGCTCTGCAGGACGCATGTCTGCTGAGACCTTGTACGAGTAGCAGGTACTGGGTGGGCATCCTGATACCCCACTGTAGGCAGGCAGGGGCTCAGTTAACTCGGTCCATTGAGGTCGGGGGGAAGGGAGGAGTTGGGTCACAGCAGGTCATGCTCAGCCTTGTTCAGGCTGTTAATGACTCTGTGCTCAGCAGTGACTCCTGGCATTGCTCAGGGGACCATATGCGGCATCAGAGGTCTAACCAGGGTTGGTTGAATGCAAGGCCAGTGCCTTAAGCCCTGTCTCTTCAGCCCTGGCTCTGTTGGTTATGTCATGAATAAAATATCACATAAAGGCTCCCCGGCAGGGGCAAGTCAAAGCCAAGGAGAGACGGACCTCCAGATCCAGTGCCGGAGAAGGGGGTGTACAAAGCATGGGGCCATGGGGCCACATGGCGGTCGGCAGGCTGGTTCCCTCTGGGCTCAATGACTGCTGAGGCCCTTTAGGTCCCGCTGACTCACCTGGTGGTTTTGCCCCGAAAATATCTATCTCCTCTCAATGGCTTTTTTTGACCTGATCTCATTTCTACTTTCAGCTTTTAATATTGGTGTTTTCCATCATAAGAAGAAGATTCTGGGATTATGGCCGTATTGCTCTGGTATCAGAAAGAGACAGGTAACAAATACCCAGCACCTTGAATCTGTGTGTGTGTGTGTGTGTGTGTGTGTGTGTGTGTGTGTGTGTGAGAGAGAGAGAGAGAGAGAGAGAAAGAGAGAGAGAGAGAGAGAGAGAGAGAGAGAGAGAGAGAGAGAGAATGTGTATGCACATACTTGTATGCCAGCTGGACTGGGGCTCATGAATCCACCAGGGGCCCCATGCATGACCTGACACAACCCCATGCATGACCTGACATGTTCACCGAGAGTGCTAGCCAGACCTGTACTTGAAGCCATATTCTCCCTGTCTGGACCCCAGGCCCACAAGCCCAGCCCTTACACCCTCGCTGTGCCTGAGAAAACCAGCACCCACATGCCAGCTCCTGCCAGGGATTCTGGCTATAAACCTTGGTTTCAGGCTCAAAGAAAATCCATTGCTTTAGATTTCTTTGTTTGTTTTGGGCCCACACCCAGTAATACTCAGGGGTTACTCCTGGCTCTGCACTCAGGAATTACTCTTGGTGGTGCCTGGGGGACTATATGGAATGCCAGGAGTTGAACCTGATCAGCTTCATGCAAGGCAAGTGCCCTACCCTCTGTATTGCTCCATCCCCTGCTATAAGTTCTTGGAACTTTCATGATCAAAGAGAAGGACACTCTCTCCTTTCCCAGGCGGAAGAGCAGTTTTTTATGAATCCAGTGAGCATGACAATGTGGCAGGGTCAAGTGGACGGAGCAGGGCACAGGGCTGTGGGGGGCTCTGCCTTCATCCCCGGCCAGCACTGACTAGTGACCCTTACCTCCATAAGGGCCAAACAAGCCTGTTCAAAGCACAGTCCCGTGGCCAGACTGTATGTCCTTCCCGCCCCACCCTGGGCTCCTGGGGCACCAGGTTCAGTTGGCTGAAGGGGAAATGTAATTCTAGATCTGCACAACTGGAATTTCCAGCTGTAGCGCACCAGGATCTTGTGTCGGATGTGGCAATAGGAAGTGAGTGCCAGTGGACTGCCTTGATGGCCCTGCCGCACGCTTCCCCCTACCACAGCACAAGCTGCTCTGTAGTGAGGAGTGCCTGTGTGGAAGGAGGGGTGTACCTCCCCGACCACCCCCCCACATACACACACAGAGTCACCGATCCAGCAATTGCCAAGTGTAGGGGTAGGTATTCTCTGTGGGAGAGGAAGTGGGGCCCCTTAGCTTCAGCTGAGCTTGGGCTTTAGACTGCATATGAGGGAAATTTTGAGGGGACGAGCCACATTTTGGGCACAGTTACACACACCCCATCCCCACTCCACCTCAGAGGCTCTTTCTCCTGCAGGGGGAAAGAGCTTAGATTTCAGGATTTCAGGAGAATGACCTGCTCCTCAGATATGTGATCACAGTCGGGGACCCAAACTTGCTGGGGTTGCTTTCCCCACTGCCCTGTCATCCTGGGGGCTGGGTACCAGGAACTTCAAATAAGACAGTGACGACTTGTCAGGTTAAAATTTACTGTGTCTCTTGGGTTTTGTTTGTTTGCTTGTTTATGGAACCCACATTGCAGTGTTCAGGGCTTACTCTTGGCTCTGCACTCATGAATTACTCTTGGTAGTGTTCGGGGGACCATGTGGGATGGACAGTGATTGAACCTGGTCAGCCATGTGAAAGGCAAATGCCCTGTCTTCTGTATTATTGCTCGGGTCATAAAATTCAGTGTGTCTCTTGCTATGAGAAGTGAAGCCAGTGGAAGAAAACAAGCAGAAGAGAACAAATCACAAACATCTAGATGATTTTCTGTGTGTGGGCTGGGTTTACGGGCTGCTGAAGAAGCTGATGAAAATGCCATTGTCCTTCCAATCTAAAATGCACATGTGATGTTTTCTCAGATTTGGAATTGGGATGCCACTTATTAATGGTGGCCCACTGGCTGTGGAGTCTCCTTATAGCAATAATTTGTAGTTGCTAATGTTGTTTTTTTTGTTTCTTTGTTTGGGTGGGCCATGCCCCATGTTGCTTGTAGGGTCTTATCCTGGCTTGGTGGACTATTTACTGGCCCTGAACTCAAACCTCTGGCATGCAAAGCTGTGTTCTGCCCACTGGGATCTCTCTCTAGCTCCAGTCTTTTTCTGTGTTAGTGGCACACAAAACCCTTATATCCTGTGAGGCCTTGGGTTTGACAAAATACAGAACTTATTCCAAGTTTTACTTGCTGTGTTGGGAAGTATGTTGCACACACAGGAGACACTTTAAGTCCCCTTAAGTAGACTGGTTCTGGTGCTGGTTTGGGGGCTCAGAATCCAAAGGTAGTCTTCCCTGGATGTTTCAAGGCTCAGAATGGTCATTGCCTTGGTCTATATTTCTCACAGGGTTACTACCATATCACAACTGCTGAGAACTCCTAACGTTAGTCCCAATTCTAAGAAGCAGCAGGATACCTGGAGATAAAATTTTCAACTTCTAAAGAGAATTTCTGTTTCCCCTTCTGTGTTTCTAGCGAGTCCAGATTCCAGAGATTGTCATCTTCTTCCTCCTCTGGGCAACAGGACTTTGAAAGCGAGCTGGTTGGTATCTAAGAGACAGTTGTGGCTGGGACTGGGTGTGTGTGTGTGTCGGCGGGGGGGAGGTAGCAGTAATGCATGAGGTGATAATGCACTTCAGTTCCATCACTGCCCCAGAAACTTCATCTTGAGTCACAAGTGCTGGCAAGGACTGTTCTTTCCATGTGAACTTGGCAAATTCCACAGGGAGGATGGCAGCTGGGTGCAAGGGCTCCTGAGATGCGTGAACTCCCAGACCACACTTTCCTTATTTCTGTCTCATGGGCAGCTTTGTGGGAGAGTTAATTATTGATTGTCCTGCTGACTTAGGAGCCATTGTGGGCAGGAGCCAGACCTTGTCCAGCGTGTTCTCACCTGATATCAGTAGGTGCCTAGTAATTGTTGAATGAATGACGTATAAATGTTTGTCTTTGGGCTGGAGTGATAGCACATTGGGTAGGGTGTTTGCCTTGCACACGGCCGACCCAGGTTCGATCCCCAGCATCCCATGTGGTCCCCTGAGCACTGCCAGGAGTAATTCCTGAGTGCAGAGCCAGGAGTAACCCCTGTGCATCGTCGGGTGTGACCCAAAAAGCAATAAATAAATAAATAAATAAATAAATGTTTGTCTTTCCCAGTGTGTAACCTTCCAGCTTTAGGGTGTATAAAGTTAAAAGATGCCATCAGGAAGGTAGGGCACAGAGATAGTGAGCAGGTAGACCTCTTGCTTGCATGCAGTTGACCCAGGTTCAACCCCTAGCACCCCATTTAGTCTTCTGAATTCCACCTGAAGTAATTCCTGAGAGCACTGCTAGGTATGCCCCCCAAAACATAAACAAACAAAAGAGATGTGATTGGGGTAGAGCTGGAGAGATAGCTCCACAGACGGAGGAGTCCATGCTTTGCATGGATGAGGCCCAGGTTTGATTCCTGGCACCGCATGGTCCCCTGAGCACCACCAGAGGTAACCCCCAGCACTGAAATGAGGATAAGCCCTGTATACTGCCAAAACTCAGAGAGAGAGAAAGAGAGACAGACAGACAGACAGAGAGGGGATAGGCTATCAAACTTTCAGCCCTCCTTACCCCTGTAAGCCCCATAGCAGGGCTGGTCCCATTACTGCTCTGGTTCCTCTTCTGTCCCGCGTCTCAGTCAGGCATCTTAAGACAAGTGATCAGGAACCCACATCTACCTGCTTCTTCAGATCTGACCTGAGCTTTCTTCAGCTCCACATTTGAATTTCATGATTTGTCCCTGGAGCTTGTGTAATTCCACAAAATGGTCCAAATTTGAGACACAAGGTGTGTATTTGGGGGGTCTGGGAGACATGCAGACTCGAGAGCACATGTGGGGCAAAGGGCTAGCCCTCTGAATTTGGGGCAGAAGAGCTGTTTCTCTGAAACAGAACGGAGCTGAATGGTTAATGCTTACGGTGAGGATTCAGTGTGCCTGGTGTCTGTGGGAAGGTAACCCCCATCTCTCTTTTCCAGGGATGCTGTCCTTGGCTGACTGCCATCTTCCGTCTGCAGTGAGTAGAGGCCTGGCTGGTGTGTTGGGGTGTGTGTGGGAGGGTTTGCCCAAGTATTTGGCCAATCAGGAAGGAAGAGCCCAGGTACCTGATCCTGAGGTGGGGTCTCCCGAAGCCTTTTCAGTTCTGGTCCAGATCAGTGAGTAGCTGAAAATAAAGGTGCCCAGGCACCCCTGCACATGTCCACACGAACTAATTCAAGCTCGTCTTTAGCTTTAAGCAAATAGTCTATTGCCTTGTTATTGAACACTGATATAATAAGATGTAAGCTCTTCATTTTACAGTGAAACACAAAGAAAATCATGGCTGTTGTTTCTTGCATGGGCTCATTTGGTTCAAAGTTTTCTGCTTTGCAAATATTAGGGCCTGTCCAGAGAGATTACTCACCTGGCTAGGTGCGTACTGTGCAGCATGCGAAAAGTCTGGGTTCGATCTCTGGCACCACAAGGTCTCCTGAGATTTTCTGGCAGCAAACCCCCATCACAGAACTGGGACAAAGCCCTGAACCAAAACAACAACTGAAAAAGTGGGGACCTCTGGAAAGAAATGCTGCAAGGGGTGCTAGGCGATTAGAAGCTCTGAGCACCCAGTTGGTGTTGCTGAGTTCCATGGCACCCAAGAAGTTATCCTTTTTGTTTTTGAGAAGCATCTTGAGCAGATGCAATTACTCACAAAGTGTGAAGACAAGGACAGGGCTGGTCAGAACGCTATGATCACGCCATGCTTCATAGATGCTGAGATTTGGAAAGGAAATCTTACAAATGATGAAACATGCTAGTCAGAGGATACTGGGTTTGCTTTCCCAAGTGCAAATAGGGTCAAAAATTGCAGCTGCTGAGGCCAGAGAGATATTGAAGCAGGTAGGGTGCTTGCCTTGCACGCAGCTGACCTGAGTTCAATTCCCGGCACCACGCCAGGCCTGATTCCTGAGTACTGCTGGGTGTGCTTCCTCCGTTGCAAAAGAAAATTTCTCTGCCAAATTCATATGAATCAACAATATGCGTGAAATGCCAGGAGTGGCCTTTGAGCACCTCTGGGTGTGGGTGCTCCCCTTCTCCCCCAATGCCTGCAGAAGTGTGACTTTTAGGGAGGTTGTTTCCAGAAGAATTGGCAAGAGGCAGAGTGTCTGTAGAACTCTGGTGAGGAGCAGGGGGTTGGGGGTGGGTTTAAAGGAAGGGAGGGAAGAGAGGCAGGGGAAGAAGCCTATCAACCAACCTCATCTCTTCCTGCTCTCACAAAGTCCTGTCACTGGGACAAATGATCTATTGATACAGAAGTCAGACAGAGGAAAGAATCTCTTCTGAAGGGGCGAGAGAGATGGCTCACTGGGCAGGCACACAGACTTTACCTGTGGGAGCCCTGCGTTGGACCCTCAGCATACACGGTTCCCTGAGCACTGCCAGGAATGACCCCCCATGAGCACTGATCTGGAGGGAGCTCCTGAACACTGCGAGGCATAGACAGAAAAGAAACAAAAATCAGTAAGAGATGAAGCCACTGTCCTCTGATCCCTGAGAGACGCTTGTGGCGTGTTTTGCTTTGACTGGCGGCTGCTATCCCTGGGCACTCGCCACTAACCAGGACACAGGGGACAAAAGCAGAAGCATGAACCTGTCATCTGTCATTTTTAGGCACAGCAGAGCCTAGCAAGTGTGCTCTGTGCTTCTGGCTCCGTGCCCCGTGTGTGCCTGTCGGCTGCGGGCTCTGTCCCACCTCCCTCTTCTGCATCCCCATGTGGGGCTGCCCAATGTCCTGGAGTGAAGCCACCTGGGCATTCTAGCACCAGTGCAGTCGGCTGGCGGTGCTTTGGCTCTTCTCGCCCCCAAAAGGTCTCCCCTTCGACTTTCTAAAGCTGCAATGAAATATTAACAGCTGCTCAGGGCCAACATGGCGACTGACATTTCAGCCGGCTTCTCCTTTTTCTTCCTAGTAGCCTTCCCCAGCAAGAGAGGAAGTCACAGAGAAAGATTGGTTCAAAGTTGAGCATCTGTTGGTTTTGACATTTTTTGGGGGGAGGGTCACACCCGGCGATTCACGGGGGTTACTCCTAGCTTTTCATTCAAGAATTACTCCTGGCAGTACTCGGGGGACGATATGGGATACTGGGATCTGAACCCAGGTCGGCCGCAAGAAGACAAACTTCCTACCCGCTGTGCTATCGCTCCAGCCCTGGTTTCAACCTTTGTAAAAAAAAATTTTTGTTTGTTTTGGAGCCATACCTGATGGTGCTCAGGACTTCCTCCTGGCTCTGTGCTTAGGGATCACTCCTGACGGTGCTCAGGGGGCCCTACAAGGTGTTGGGAACCAAACCTGGGCCCAGCATGCGTGAGGCACACAGTTTACTTGCGGTCTGCACATTGCTCTGGCCCTGTGAGTAATTCTCATAGCATGTTCTGTGGCCCTGTTCTCTGTCCTTTGATAGTTTCCCTAGACATGAGAACAGTAACGTGAGGGCACAGCTTTGCCCTGCAGATAAGCAGCCAGGAGCGCTAATACCAGGAAGCTTGGCCATCGCCCAGGCCCAGGCCTTTGCCAGCTCTGCTGAGGCTGCCACGGCAGCTGACATGGGGCGGCTTCGTGCATGCCCTGGATGCTTCCTGAGCAGGCAAAATGGGGCCCACCATGGGCAGCTGGTTTCCAGCCTGCGCTCTGCCTCCCACCTCCCCCTCTCTCGGGCTCGGCTCTCTATGCAGGGAGCCCCTTCTGCTGGCAGTACAGAAATCTGCCTCTCAGAATCCAGAATTTCTGACTAAGTGACTCAGAGTCTCCAAATATAGCTCAGAGGATGGGAAAGGGCGGTGCAGGGCCTCATGGGCAGGGACCCAGGGCACAGTGGGGTTCTGGCCTGTCACTGAGAGGCTAAGGGGATCAGGGTTGAGCCCTGAGCGAGGACTCTCCCAACTGTCCTCCGAACCTCCTTTTTGGGGGCCTCCCAAGCAGTCTTAGGGAATCAGGGTCCACAATCAGTGGCAGACAATGGGCATTTTAATGCTTGGGCTCTTCGGTGACCACCAGGGCAACCCTGGCTTGGCTTGGGAGCCTCTAGGGTAACACCTAGTGGTGCTTGGGGCCATGTGGTTCCAGAGTTTGGAAGTCAGGTGCCCCCAATGACTGAGTGGTCATCCCAGCCCCAAGAGCAACCTTCTATTTTGAGGTTTTTTGGGCTTGCAGGAAGGAGTCATCACTTTATGTGCAGGAAGGGATCACTGTCTTTATGTATTCCCCACCCCTGCCCCCCCCCCCCCCACACACACATACACACGCAACAAAAGGGGCCTGGATGCTTTTAGAGACTGATGGTGCATTAGGGGCCGATTCTGTGGCTCCTGGTGGTGGAAGGGCTGAAGCCCCCCTCCCGGCTCTGGTTTAGGTGGTGGAACTGTTGGTAGGTGCAGGGATGAGGGCCTGCTTTGCACATGACTGACCCCAGCTCCATCCCTGGAATCCCTTGAGGGATCCCTGAGTTCAGAGCCAGGAGTAAGCCCTAAGCACTGCCAGCTGTTCCTCATACATATAAAGTAGACAGGCGTTCTGTCCTGTGTCTTCATCACTTGTCAAAGCCAGGGAGCACTACTCCAGACTCCTTGGGAGGGCTGTGAGGAATGAAGGAGGTGAGGGTTAGGGGGATAGGGTGGGGGGCTCCCCTGCTCACCAGCCTGCACGTGTGTCTTCGGCAGCGATGAGCAGATCCTGGAGTGGTGCGGGGAGGACGCCATCCACTACCTGTCCTTCCAGAGACACCTCATCTTCCTGTTGGTGGCCGTCAGCTGCTTGTCCCTGGCTGTCATCCTGCCTGTCAACCTCTCAGGAAACTTGCTGAGTAATGACCCCTCATACTGGCTAAGTGGGGCCCAAGTGGGTCAGCAGCCCCAGGAGAAGGTGCTTGTTATGGAGCACCTCAGAACTCCTGCAAAATCAGATATGAGAGTACTGCAGGCAGGGTGCTTGCAACTGATTTGCATGCAACATGCATGCAACTGATCTGGGTTTGAGCCATGGTACCACAGGGTCCCCTGAGCCCCACCAGGAGTGAATCCTGAGTGCAGAGCCAGGAGTAAGACCTGACTACTGCCAGGTGTGAACCTCACCTAGAAACAACCCAAAAAGTCAGATGTGAGAAAGACTCCTGGGGCTTTGAGTAAAGATCTGGGGAAGTCATCCTGGCTAAGGTGGAGAGCTGGGGTCCCTAATATTTATTTCTGGTTCTGAGTAGAAGGGGGGAATGAACCCCAAGACTGAGCCAGAGCAGTAGTATAGAGGGTAGGACATTTGCCTTGCATTTGGCCGACCCCGGTTCGATCCCCAGCATCCCATATGGTCCCCCAAGCATTGCCAGGAGTGATTCCTTAGTGCAGAGCCAGGAGTAGTCCCTGAAGATCGATGGGTGTGACCCCCCCAAAAAATACCCGTGATTGATTTATTCCAGGGATTTTAGAGATTGTTTTGTGTTTTCCTACCCTCACCCATCTCAGGGCACAGTTAGGGTGCCTATAAGAAGTTGGAGTGATCCAGGTCAAAACCATATCATGGAATACTATTTCTAAGCTAACCAGGTTTCAGCTTCCAAAGCATGAATCCTCTTGCTGGGCTCATGAGTCCCAGTCTTGTTTTTTTTGTTGTTGTTGTTGTTGTTTGTTTGTTTGTTTTTTTGGTCACACCTGGAGATGCTTAGTGGTTACTCCTGGCTCTGTACTCAGGAATTACTCCTGGTGGTGCTGAGGGAATCATAGGGGATGCCGGGGATCTAACCTGGGTAGGCTGCATGCAAGGCAAACGCCCTACCCGACGTACTATTGCTCCAGTCTCTCAGATTTACTTTTGAGCCCAGCTCAAGATGATTCTAAATCTCTCATGGCAGTGGCACAAGAATCTTTTAGCAAGATGGATTGAAGTTTTGGCTTTACCCTGATGCAGGGGAAGCTGCTTCTCCTGCTGGGGAGCAGCGACTTTGGCTGGCCACTCTGAGCTGCCTGTCCCTGCAACCTCCTCCTCCAAGCCCCACGAACTGAGGCTGCTGCACCCTCCTCTCTCTTGGTCCCGGCGTGAGCCCTGGGACTAAACACTTGTGCTTCTTTGTAGACAAGGACCCTTACAGTTTTGGGAGGACAACCATAGCAAACCTACAGACCAAGTGAGTTGGGGCAGGAGGGCACTGTTGGGGACACCCGAAAACCCCAGAGTCTCACAGGGCAGGCGAATGCCTGATGCCCCTTAGCAGCTGGGCCGTGGCCGCAGAGAAGCCCTGACAGCTACTACTCTGCAGTAGGCTTGGGGGCGGCGGGGAGTGTGCCTCTGGGTTCCTCCTACAGGAAAGGGCTGGGGACCGCTTTAAAGTTGTCCCTTTGGGTTGAGGGACATCAACTGGGGGGGACGCCACCGGTCCTCAGCTCTGCCAGGAGGGTACTCCTGCTTAGTGTCCAGCCCCGTACCGCTTCGTGGGAGCATGGCCCTGACAGCAGGCGTGTTCCCTGCTCCCCCCAGCAACGACCTCCTTTGGCTGCACACCATCTTCGCCATCATCTACCTCTTCCTCACCGTGGGATTCATGCGCCACCACACCCAGTCCATCAAGTACACAGAGGAGAACCCGGTGAGTTGGGGTTGGAGCTGTGGGGAGTTTGAGTCTCTGCACCTTCTCTCCCAGCAGGGCCTTGTGGAACCCAGGCCTGCCTTCCCTTTGTTACTTACTGTTTGGGGCTAATCTGGTAGTGCTCAGGCCTCACTCCTGACTCTGGGATGCCTCTGGCGGGCTGGGGGTGGGGGCGGGGTGGGCAGAGGGGACTATATCTGGCATTATTGTCTACTTTCCGCAGGTTCTTTGTTTTTGTTTGGGGGTCTCCCAAGCAAGACTCAGGGGGGCCTAGGGACCACGCCAGGCAATTCTTGATCACCTGATCCAGATGGTTTGATGCTTGGGCCCAGCAGTGCTGGGGGCCTCCAGGGCTACACCTAGTGGTGCTTGGGGGACCCTGGGGTTCCAGGGTTTGGACAGGGGTCCTGACATGGTGCCACACATATACCTCTGACATCTGAGCCATCTCTTCTCCTTAAATGTTCTGTTTTGACATTTTCCTTCCAGTCTGCCAACGAGGCTTCAGATTTGTGGGTTCGGGCTTGTAGCTATTGATTCTAATAACATCTCCTAAGTTGGACTGAGAGCTACCCCCTCTCTCTGAAAACCACTTTCATGTCAGACACCTGTAGCCTGAAGGTAGAGATGCGGTGGCTGATCTGGGACCAGGGCTTCAAGTGTTTTGGGGCCCAGGCCTGTGCCCTCTGGGGTGGGCTGCGGGGACCTCCTAACCAACAAGATGGACCCTTGGTTGGGGGTGAGATGCGTGTTTCTGCTGTGCTTTTGCTTGGGAGGGCCCCATGTCTGAAGCTCATTTTCACCACTGTCATTTCTGGGGCAGGTTCACTCTGATCTCCAGAGCTGATTGTTCCAATCTGTCTAGAGGGAAAGTGGACCAAACCTTCATTTTTTTTTTTTTTTTTTGGCTCACACCTAGCCATGCACAGGGGTTACTCCTGGTGGTGCTCAGGGGACCATATGGGATGCTGGGAATCGAACCCAAGTCGGCTGCATGCAAGGCAAGCACCCTACCCACTGTGCTATCACTCCAGCCCCATAAACCTTCATTTGAGGGAATGGCTGGAGAGCACCTTACTGGTCGCTCCAAGAAACTGACTGCCTTGTATTAAGTGCGTTTTATGTATTTCTTTTTTTACTTTTTCTTTTTTTCTGGTTTTTGAATCACACTCGGAGATGCACGGGGTTACTCCTGGCTCTGCACTCAGGAATTACTCCTGGCAGTGCTCGAGGGATCATATGGGATGTTGGGAATTGAACACAGGTTGGCCGCATGCAAGGCAAACGTTCTACCTGCTGTGCTATCGCTCCAGCCCCTCACGTATTTCTAATAAGACAACTTTCCAGACAGTAAAATTTGTTATGTTCTGGCTTTTAAAAGGTGAAATATAAATAAAAATTCATAATTTATCAAAAAGAAATGTGTGGGTGTTTCGGTGACAGCAAGTCCTCGCTTAACTGTCCCCAGAACTTCAACTTGCAGTAAAAATGATATCTGAGCAGGCTTGCTCCCTAATATTACAGTGACAGGGGTTATATTTCCTTATAATGAGGGCATTACCTGAGGGCCTGCTGTCCCTGGTTTCTGGGCTGGGTTCTCCAACCTGCTTTAGACCCCTCCACCCCCTTCGGGTCTGTCTCAGTCTCCTGACGTGCAGAGACTCCTGGAACTGTTCTGGGAATGTGTCCAGGAGCCCCTGGAATAAGTTGCTTTTTTTTTTTTGTGAGGTTTTTGGTTTTTGGCCACACCTGGCTGTGCTCAGGGCTTTCTCCTGGCTCTGTGCTCAGGAATCACTCCTGGTGGCTTTCCTTGAATCATGTGTCTTGCCTGGTATCAATTTGGGGTTGACCGTATGCCAGAGAAGTGCCTTAAGCCCTGTATAAAGTCTCTGTAAATGGCTTGCCTCGGCTACTTTGGGCTCAGGAGGGGGAGCACCTGAGCCTTCTTTTTTTTTTTCTTTTTGGGTCACACCTGGCAATGCATAGGAGTTACTCCTGGTTCATGCACTCAGGAATTACTCCTGGCGGTACTTGGGGGACCATATGGGATGCTGGGAATTGAACCTGGATTGGCTGCGTGCAAGGCAAACGCCCTACCCACTGTGCTATTGCTCCAGTCCCAGCACCCGAGCCTTATGAATCACCTGTTTTCTTTCAGGCAGGGAGTCTGGAGGCATATGCCAAAGTCGCCTCCTACAGACCTAATTGCCTTTGATAACTTTTTCAATATGCTTCTACAGCAGGTGAGGCGGACTCTGTTCATCACAGGACTCCCCAAAGATGCCAGGAAGGAGACTGTGGAGAGCCACTTCCGGTATGGATGTGGGGGAGGAGGGGCCACAACCTGCCCCAGGCAGGACCAGTGTCATCTTGGGGGGAGCCCAGGGTCTTAGTGCACACCTGTCTTCCTTTTGCATTCCCGCTGAGATCTGAGAAGCACCTGAGTATCAGATGACTGCACATCTGACCCCCCACTGGTGCTGAGGACACACGTGGGATGGGGTGGCCTGTGTCCTACAGGTGGCCACGGCATCCTCATAGCCACGTACAGGCCAGGGTGTGGGTGCAAATGAAAGTGTGGGGAGCACAGGGGCAAAGAAAGGGATCCCAAGACTTAACTGTCCAAGCCCCGTTCTCCCTTAAACATGTGTCTCACCTGCTTGTCCCTGAATCTTTGCTTGCTTATTCTCCACTCTGGAGAAGATGGTGTTCTCACTCAAACACATTCTTCTTTTTCTTCTCTCACATCTTTCTAAATAAGGTTTAACAAAAACTATCTTGCTTCACCAAAAAAAGAGAAAGAAAAAAAGAGAGAAAGAGAGAAAGAAAGGAAGGAAGGAAGGAAGGAAGGAAGGAAGAAAGAAAGAAAGAAAGAAAAGAAAAGAAAGAAAAGAAAGGCAATCCTGTGTTGGAGAGGCAGTAATAAGGCGTAATGCCTTGCATGTGGCCAACACTGGTTCAATACCTGCCACTCTATATGGTTCCCTGAACACTATTAGGAGTGATCCCTGAGAACAGAGCCCTGAGCACCACAAGATATGGCCCCATCACAGAGAGAGAGAGGGAGAGAGCGAGAGCGCAGCCAGGCAGGCAGGCAGGCAGGCAGGCAGGAAGGAAGGAAGGAAGGAAGGAAGGAAGGAAGGAAGGAAAGAAAAGGAAAAGGAAACGGGAGGAGAGCAGCCAGGAGAGCAGAGGGTAGCCAGGCCGGCTGGCAGTGTGGGTGCAGAGTCCCCCCAGCAGATCTCCTGATTGTGCACTGTCCTCCCAGAGCCCAGGGTTGCCCTGCAGAGGGGCGCCCACTCCAGGATCCTCCCCTGGGAGAAGGGTGCTGTGTGGACTGGCCCCGATATGCAGCCTCGGAGGAGCATCAAAAGGCAGTTTGGGGCAAGTAGGACCAGGAACCAGTTTCCTCAGAGTCCCTTTCTCAGCAACTCAGCAGGCACTGATTTGTGCTGTGGGCCATGGCAGGGCTGCACATCCAGTCAGCTCGGACTGTTTACAGAGAACAGGTGTCATGGTAAGCGAGCACGGCATGGTGACTACAGATGTGGGTGCCTTTTCCTGGCTCAGACAGTCCTGGCTGTGTGACCCTGGATCCAGTGCATTTTACCTCCCCAGCCCTTGTTTTCCTCCATGTCCAGTGGGGACAACACTCGCGGGGGGGGGGGGGGGGGGGGGTCACACAGGACAGCACTTGGATGCTGCGTGGGCACAGTGAGTCCAGATGCCATGTGTGCCCCGGGACTGTGATACATGTGGCCAGTTTCGTTTCTTTTCTTTTTTTTTTTCTTTTTGGGTCACACCCGGCATTGCACAGGGGTTAGTCCTGTCTTTGCACTCAGGAATTACTCCTGGCGGTGCTCAGGGGACCATATGGGATGCTGGGAATTGAACCCAGGTTGGCCACGTGCAAGGCACTACCTGCTGTGCTATTACTCCAGTCCCACATGTGGCCAGTTTCTAACTGAGGGTCCTCGGTCTCTTTTGAGCTAAAAAGGTCAGTGACCTTCAAACTGGTCACAAAATGGGGACAGAGAGATAGTTGTGGATAAGGTGCTTGTATTGCACATGGCTGAACCAGGTTTGATCCTTGGGAGCCCATATGGACCCCCAAATGTTGCAGGAGTCATTCCTGAGTGCAAAGTCAGGAGAAGCCCTGAGCACTGCAGGATATAGTGTCCAAACAAACAAACCAAAAAAAAAAAAAAAGCCCAAAACAAAAGGGTCATAAACTGCCTGGCATTCCAGTGAGGGCCCCAGACAATAAGGCTGTTCTATTGGGCGTAGGAGAGAACAACACAGGCTTCTGTGCATGCAGAAACCCTGGGTTTAATCCAGAACATCACTTGGTACCCTGAACACTGTGCCAGGCACCATCTGGTATGGCCCCAAATCATCAGGTATGGCCCCCAAATCAAGCCATCCAACAACAAAAAAGAAATCTGTTCCTTTGGGGGGGGGGGGGATAGTACACCATGTTCATTTTTCCACATGAGAAGTGCCCACTGATTAGAGCCTGGGGGTATCAACTTGTCAGTTGCAGGCAGTTCCTTGGATGCTATTTAAAAAGGCTCCTAGGGATTAGAGGGATAGTATAGCAGACAGGACTCTTGCCTTACATGCAGCCGACCTGGGTTTGTTCCCTGAGACCCTATATGGCCTTTAAGCCCTTCCAGTAGTGATCCCTGAATATAGCCAGGTGTGACACCAAAATTGAACAAACCAACAACAACAAAAAAGACCAAAAAAAAAAAAAAAAGAAAAACCAAAACAAAAGAAAAGGCTCTTTTGGAGCGAGATGGCGGCCAGGCAGGAGCACATGCTTTGCACATAGGAGCCCTGGATTCAAACCCTAGAACCACATGGTCCCCTGAGCACTCTTTTTTTTTTTTTTCTTTTTTGGGTCACACCCGCCAATGCACAGGAGTTACTCCTGGTTTATACACTCAGGAATCACTCCTGGCAGTGCTCGGGGGACTATATGGGATGCTGGGAATCGAACCCGGGTCGGTCGTGTACAAGGCAAATGCCCTACCTGCTGTCTGCTGTGCTATTGCTCCAGCCCCCCCCGCCCCCCCCCCCCCCCCCCAGCACTCTTAGGAGCGACCTCTCAGCACAGAACCTGGAGCAATCCTTGAGTACTGCTGGGTGTAGCACCCAATACACACACACACACACACACACACACACACACACACACATACACACGGCCTCTTTGTGTTGAACTTCAAAATGTTTCCCCTTTGGTGAAAGGCAAAGAGAAAGAAGAGAAAGGAAGTTTGCTCTGGCACAAGAGACCATCATGATTCACTCGCTTGGAGGCTTGGGGAGTCTCTCCCCTGGGGCGTCTTGCCAATGGCTGTCTTTCGTCTCCCCCCTGGGACAGGGACGCATATCCCACGTGTGAGGTGGTGGAGGCCCAGCTATGCTACGACGTGGCCAAGCTGATAGACCTGTGCAAGGAGAGGTGAGGGGACTGTGCCCCTCCTACCCGTTCCCCCTCTAACTCCCCTTCCCTCCCCGCCCCCCCAGCCTTCCTGCCCTTGGGCCTCCCAGTTGGGAAGGGAGAGGCTCATTCAGAAAGTCCAACTCCAGGTTCTGAGGGTGACTGATGATGGGACATGGGTGTAGGGGGGTTCAGCACTGGAGTATGATTCTGATCTTTGTCCTCTGGGGCTCCTCACTGCAGAAAGAAGACTGAGAAGAACTTGACCTATTACACAAACCTGCAGGCCAGGACAGGCCACCGGAGCCTCATCAACCCCAAGCCCTGCGGCCACTTCTGCTGCTGTGAAGTGCCGGGCTGTGAGCGGGTGAGACCCCCAGGCAGTCAGGGAGTGTGGGGGGTGTTGGAAATTCCTGGGCTCCCCATTGCTCAGAGCTGCCTCACAGCAGCACATTCCCTGCAGGAAGATGCCATCTCCTACTACACGCGAATGAAGGACCAGCTGGTGGCACGGACGGCCGAGGAGGAGCTCAGGGTCCAATCCCAGCCCCTGGGGATGGCCTTTGTCACTTTCCGGGAGAAATCCATGGCCACCTTGTGAGTGTGGGCATGCTCCATATAGCCTCCCCTGCTGGGGGCAGCTTGAGAGCTTTCCATGACCCTTCCCTGGGGGTGGGAGGGGAAAGAGTCTGGGAAGGCAGTCCCCAGACTCAGCATTTCGGTTTGTGCTACCGTAGGGTGTGGGGTTTCCACCTAAGCCCCAGAAATCCCAGGGACTCTGCGTCCCACATTCCCCCTTCCCGGATGGGTGCCATTGTCCTCCAGACACCCACTGCAGAGCCGTGGAGCCTTCTGGGCATGAGCAGTTTCTTCTTCTTTTTGGGGAGGCCACACTGGTGATATTCAGGGTAACTCCTGTCTCTATACTCGATATTACTCCTGGTGGTGCGTGGGACAATGTGGGATGCTGGGGATGGAGCCCGGTGAGCTGCATGCAAGACAAGTGCCCTACCCGCTGTCCAATCTCTTCAGCCCTCCGGGCGTGCGCTTCTGTCTTGCTGTGGAGCAGGCCTCTGCAGCCAGACCCCTGGTCATGCCAAGTGCCCAGGGTCCGGGGTGCCCAGGATCCCAGTCACCTCACCACAGGGACGGCAGGGGACAAGGAAGGAACAGGGCTGTGGGGGGAGGGTACTGAGCATAGGACCTTGGCCCTGTCTGGTCTGCCTGGGCATTGCAGCTGGGCACAGGCTCGGGTGTGTCCCACAGGCCTGGACATGGGGGCATGCGACTGAGAGGAGGCCTGGGGACAGGGAAGGGGTGGTTGGAGATAGGAGTGGGGGCTGGGGAGATGGAGTGGGAGCTGAGGAGATGGTGGGGGTACGTGTGAGTCTTGAGGAGGAAATGGGTTGCTGGGAGGGTCGTGTGAGGTATCATGGGGAGAAGTGAGGGAAGGTTGAGGCCTGGGCTGACAGGAGCTCCAGTCTCTGGCAGGGCAGAGGGGCTGGCCCATGGTGTAGTGGGGTGTTGGGCATGCAAGCAGTGTGTGCGTGTGTGTGTGTGTATTGTGTGTTTGTGTTGTGTGTTAGTGTGTGTTTGTATGTTAGTGTGTGTTGTGTGTATGTTAGTGTGTGGTGTGTGTGCTGTGTGTGTGGTGGGGGGGGGTGTCTCAGAGCAAATGCAGGGTGAACCCTAGCTTGGAGCATCCCAGTCTCCTTCCCTGTAAAATCTGAGTGGTCCCTACTGGCCTGCAGGGCCATTCTGAGGATAAAACAGTTTCCCCATCGCTTTCAGGATGTTCCCAAGAGGGTACTCACTCCTCAGCACCGCTGGTGAGATAGTCAGCAGCATCTGTGTGTGGGGTGGGACCTGGGCCAGCCTGGGTGCTCACGCTGTCTGTGCTCCTGACAGCATTCTGAAAGACTTCAATGCTTGCAAGTGCCAGGGCCTCCGGTGCCGTGGGGACACCCAGCCGTCCTCCTACAGCAGCGAGCTCTGCACCTCCAGGTGGACCGTGGCCTTTGCCACCTACCCTGAGGACATCTGCTGGTGAGCCCCAGGCCTGGAGGGCGGGATGAGGCTGGGCCCCCTGCTGGCTGCTTTCCTCCCACACCCCCAAACACAGCTGGGACCTGCGACTGGGGAGATGCTCACCCCTCTGGGGCTCTGGGGGCCCAGGGTGGGGTCTGCCTGTGAGCCTGTGAGTCTTCACCCAGTGCTGCATCCAGGGCACCTCCCAGATGTATAGAAGGTGACCTGCAGTGCTGTCTAAACTTTCTCAGAGGCTGGAGAGAGCGCATAGGGATTCAGGCATATGGCCAACCCCGGTTCGATCCCTGGTACCTCCTAGGGTTCCCCAAGCACCTCCAGGAGTGAGCCCTGAGTTTGACCCCACGCTCAGAGAAAACAAACAGATCTGTATTATAGCCGTTTTAAGAAAGTAAAAGAAACTGGAAAGTTTGGAGCCAGAGTAATAGTACAGGGGCAGAGTTCTTGCCTTGCACATAAGGGTTTGATCACTGGCACCCCCGTGGGTCCCGCACGCCCACCAGGAGTGATCCCTGAGCTCAGCCAGGAGTAAGCCTTGAACACTGCTAGGTAAGGTAAGGTAAAGGTAAAGGCCCTCCCGTTGATCGTCGATTTGCTCGAGCGGGCCCAGTAACGTCTCCATTGGAGACTTGGTTGTTACTGTGTCTGGCATATCGAATACTCTAGGTAGCTTGCCGGGCTCTCCGAGAGGGGCGGAGGAATCGAACTCGGGTCGGCCATGTTGGCCGCTTGTAAGGCGAACGCCCTACCCGCTGTGCTATTGCGAGCACTGCTAGGTATGGATCAAAAACCCAAACCAAAAACAACAGGAAAATTAAGTCATACTTTAAAGTTTTTTAAAAAATTTTTTGATAAAGCAGGAAAATTTTTATTGACACTTATTTAGAAAGATGTGAGGGGAAAGGAAGGAAGGAGTACATGTTTGAATACAGGCTTCCCCAGAATGGAAATAAGCAAGAAAAGACATATAGAAATAAGCAAGTGAGATATGTGTTCAAGGGGAGTACATGGGCTTGAAGAGCAAGCCAAGTCATACTTTACATTTGAGATATTATTTCAACACTAGTTTTTTTTTTTCTTTTTGGGTCACACCCGGTGATGCACAGGGGTTACTCCTGGTTCATGCACTCAGGAATTACTCCTGGCCATGCTTGGGGGACCATACGGGATGCTGGGAATCGAACCCAGGTTGGGCTGTGTGCAAGGCAAACACCCTACCAGCTGTGCTATCACTCCAGCCCTGTTTTTTTAATTTAATTTAATTTTTTTTTTTTATTGAGGTGTGGCGCTTTTGTGCCAAGGAGTCTTGGAAAGTGACTGGTGCCACTCCTAGTGCACAGCTTGACTTTCACCAGCCATTCTGGCATTTATTACTTTTCTTTTTGGGTCACACCTGGCAATGCTCAGGGGTTATTCTTGGCCCTGCTCTCAGGAATCACTCCTGACAATGCTCAGAAGACCATCTGGGATGTCAGGGATCGAACCGGGTTGGCTTTGTGCAAGGCAGACGCCCTACCTGCTGTGCTGTCACTCCAGCCCCAACACACCAGCCACTCTGTAGAGCTCAGCAGCCTTGGGTGGTTTGTGACCGCTGTATTGGGTGCGCTAGCCTGGAGACCTGCTAGCGAGCGTGGCTGTATCCCTGTTGACATGTAGCAAGTGCTAAGCACTGGTGCTGAGCTGAGGACAGCTGGGCAGTGGCCCTGAGTCATCAGTCTGGCCTCTGATCCTCATCCAGGACTAATGCTAGTGCTCGTTGCCACTGGCTTTAGTTCCGTCTCTGATGGTTCTGCCCTTGGTGAACTGGTGAACTTGGCGATGGCTGGTTCACATCACTAAACCCATTCATGTGCTGAATGTGAGTGACCATTCTGCACGGCTATGCGCTCTGAGCTCACAAGGGGCCCAAAGTTGATCTTGTAGCTGAAGGTCAGTACACCAAGCTTGTCTTTTTGTTTGTTTTTGGTGGGCTTTGCACACCGATCCCTCCTGACGGTGCTCGAGGGACCAAATGGGGTACCAGGGATTGAAGCCGGGTCAGCCGTGTTCAAGGCAAAAGTCCTCCTCTCTGTGCTGTGTCTCTGGCTTTTGTCCATCCTCCAGAGACTGAGATGAGGCCTCAGCCTGCCTGCAGCTTGCCCTCTGACCCCCCTGTGCCTCAGGCACTGCTGGGGTGCTGAGCCCCTCCTCTCTGTACCCCCCTCTGCAGGAAGAACCTCTCGATCCAGGGTTACCGTTGGTGGCTGCAGTGGTTGGGCATCAACTTCATCCTCTTCGTGGGGTTGTTTTTCCTCACCACTCCTTCCATCATCCTGTCCACCATGGACAAGTTCAATGTCACCAAACCCATTCATGCACTGAATGTGAGTGACCATTCTATACAGCTATCCCTGGCTGTAAGAGGGCATTGTGGGGGGGGTGGGGGTGAAGATATGGGGGCCAAGGGATATGAGGGGCACTGAGGCAGGAGCTGTGTCCCTCTGGCTGTACTGTTGAATTGGAGCAGGGAGGGTTGGCCAGGCTTGTATTAGTACCTTTAGAGCAATGCTCTAGACCGGTTTCCCCAATGATCTGAAAGTAGACTGTTTCATTTGGGGAGGGGGGAAGTTTGGGCCCATTCCCAGAAGCAACTCCAGGCTCTGTGCTCAGGGGAACATAGTGGTATTGGGGACAGAACGAGGACTGGCTTCATGCGAGGCTTTACCCCCTGTCCTATCTCTCCAGCCTCTCAAAGTAGAGTATTTTTTATTTGTTTTGGACCACAACTCATGGTGCTCAGGACTTTCTCCTGGCTCTGTGCTCAGGGATCATACCTGGCAGTGCTCGGAAGACCATATATGGTGCTGGGGGTCGAACTCAGGTCAGCTGCATGCAAAGCAAGCGCCGTACCCACTATTCCATTGCTCTGGCCCAAAAGTAGAGTATTTCTACAAAACATTCATGAGCCAAAGATATGCTTCCATTAATGTACACCGAAAAAAAAAATGTGTTCTCAGGCCCCAAACTAACCTTTGAGTCATACCAAACCACACATAAAGCCTAAGAACACATGAACACACATGGAAGCAGGAGTATCATAATAGAGGCATGTCCTGCATGGAGCCCCGGGAGGTCCCTGCAGCTGCCTCTCAGCCCTCAGGGACCTGCAGCCACCAGGACAGAGGCTGATGCTACTTTTGCTTTTTGCCATAAAAACAAACTCCTCTTTGAATTTCTTCCCATCAGAGGAGATGGAGTCTAATGTTAAAGATGGGTCTTTTGTTAAAGCGGCATCATACAAGGTTCTAAAAAGTAGGAGCTCCTGCCCAATATGTGTGTGTTGCTTGCTGCTGTTGTGGGGGCCATGCCCAGCAGTGCTCAAGAGCCACCAGAGTCACCCCCAGGGTGCCACTATCACACCTACTGGTGCTGGGGTGGGGAACAGCTAGGAATCACTCATGGCTGACCAAATGGGGTTCCAGGTGTCAAACCCAGGTTGGCTGTGTATGCAAGGCAAGTGCCTTACCACTTATCCCTGAGGTGAAGAAGTCATGGATAAGAAGGACCAACTGTGTTTGTTTGACAACAGTCATGCGTCAGTGGCCCTGGAGTCTGTATCTGCGCTGTTTGCATCAGCCCTTTAAGGTGCCAGCGTCCTGCTCTCCCTCCCATGAACAGGGCAGCACCTCCTGACCCTGCTCCGCACACTGTTTCCTAGGACCCCATCATCAGCCAGTTCTTCCCCACTCTCCTCCTATGGTCCTTCTCCGCTCTGCTGCCCACCATCGTCTATTACTCAACGCTGCTGGAGTCTCACTGGACCAAGTGAGTGCCAGGCCATGGCCCTGCCCCAGCGAGAGGTCTTTTCTGCCCCTGCACTGGGACAGCACGGGGAGAGCAGGAGCCTGACTGGGGGATACCTGAAGGACTGGGTCCAGGAGCAGGGCTCTGGACCTCTCACCTCTGACTTTTTGCAGGTCAGGGGAGAACCGGATCATGGTGACCAAAGTCTACATCTTCTTGATCTTCATGGTGTTGATCCTGCCCTCCCTCGGCCTCACCAGGTAGCTCGCCCTCTCTTGCTTGGAACCGAATCCAGGTCACAGCTGGAGAACCTAGAGCCGGGAAGGGATGGTCTGGGGGTGGATGCGAACCCCTCCCATTTCGGCCACTAACACATGTGGAAGGCATTGAGCTGGCCCATTTGCATTGATCTATTTTCTTCTTTGAGAAAAATCCTGTGGCGGGGGGTGGGGTGGGGGTGATAGTACAGCAGGATGGGCATTTGCCTTGTATATGGCTCACCTGGGTTTGATCTCTGGCACCCCGAATGGTCTTCTGAGCACTTCCAGGAGTGATCTATGAGCACAGAGTCAAGAGTAAGTCCTGAGCACTGATGGGTGTGGCACAAAACCAAACCAAAAAACCTGTTTTTTGTTAATACTGTGGGCAGGAAAGATAGTTTAGTGGATTGGGTGTTTGCCTTGCATGCAGCTGACTCTGGTTCAAACCCTGATACCACACATGGTTCCTTGGGCACCGCCAGGACTGATTCCTGAGCACAGACTAAGAAGTAAGCCCTGAACACTGCCAGATGTAGGCCCAAACCAAAATAAATTTTTAAAAAAATGGTGTGGGTGGGACCAGAATGGATTCAAGGGTAAAGCACCTGCCTCGAAGGTATGAGTCCTTGAGTTCAATTCCTGGCACTGCACAGTTCCACAGCACAAGTGGGTAAGCCCCCGCCCCCCCCCAATAAAGAACAAAAAGAAGAAAAACAATTTTGTGAGGCCTGGGGATGTAGCCTAATGTTGCAGTGGATGCCTTATGTGGTGAGGACCTGGGTTTGATCTAAGCACACATAGACAAAAAAACCTTTAAATTTTTTTTTTAAAAAAACAAAACTTTCACAACCCTTGTCCGGGAGGGTCTGATCCTGGCTTTGCCTGGGGAATCAATTCAGGCTGTTGAATAAAAGCAGAGAGCACAGGGGTTAACGTGAACATCTCAAAAGTGGCCAAGCCCAGTTTGTTCACAGCATCACATAGTCTCCCGAACACTGCAAGTGCGGCCCTAGAGGCCTTGAGTACCACCAGGTGGTCTAGTCTGGAGCAGCATGGCATCATGGGGCCCTTGCATTACACTGTTGGCTTCTTGGCGAGAATCACAACTGGGGGCCCAGGCCTCTGCTTAGTAGCCCTGCAAAGTTACAGGACAGTAGCTGTCTTAGAGAACAAATGTCAACCTTGAGATTTGACCTACTGAGCGCAGGAAAACATTGGAAAGGTGTGTAGTGATCCCCGGTTGAAAATAAATTCCTGTGGAATTCATTTGTTTTTCAGTCTGGATTTTTTCTTCCGATGGCTCTTCGACAAAAAGTCTGCAGATGCTGCTATCAGGTTGGAGTAAGTATCGATCAGGCTGAGTCTGGACCATCTCGGTGCCTGTGCCCCCTGGAGTTTGGGCTGGAGCCACACTGGAGGTGGGGGGGCTTGGGGGTGTAGGCTGGCGCTTCAGGACAGACATCTTCCTCCTGGAGACCAATCCTGGGCCTTCAGGTTCCTGACTGAGCCGTTGCATGCCTGGGGCTGCACCCTGGAGGCTGACCCATTCTGCTCTCTACCCAGAAATGTGGCTAATCTTCTAGGCATTAGAGAGCTGCACCTCATTCATCCTGTGAAATTTACTGAGGATGGAGCCTATGGGGAGAAGGAGCAGCTAATCTCGGTAGTGCCATGGAGAAGGACAGAAAAAAAATATTTAAACATTCATCGCAACCAGAAAGACCACCTGGTCTATTTTTGCCAGGAGACTGGGGTTGACTGTTGATTGTGCCCGTTCAGTATTTTAAACTTGTACCATCCACTTACTGGTAATAGCTCTGATTTAAGAAGCCATTCATGCCGGTTCTCACCTGATCTGTACAAGAAGCTATGAGGTCATTGAGTTGTCTCCACTTTATAGATGAGGAGCCTAAGGCTCAGATTATCTCGCTGCTGTTCTGCCTTGGTCCCTGATGTTCCCGCTGCAGGCCCTGAGGCTCGGATTGACTTTCCAAAGGGATGTTTGTAGGCACGGCTACCCCGCCCACCTGGAGGATAGGGGAATTATTTCAAATGGGTTCCACTTCTGCCTGGCCCCCCAGGTGCGTCTTCCTGCCCGACCAGGGGGCCTTCTTTGTTAACTACGTCATTGCCTCAGCCTTCATTGGCAACGGAATGGAGCTGCTGCGCCTGCCAGGCCTCATCCTCTACACCATCCGCATGATCTTGGCCAAGTCTGCTGCAGAGCGCAGGAACGTCAAGCAGGTCAGGGAGGGGCGGGACCCCGGAGGGAGTGGGCAGGGCCCGGGGGCGGGGAGTGGGCGGGGCTAGTAGGCGGAGTGGGGCGGGGCTGTAAGTAGCGGGCGGGGGAAAAAGGCGGGGCAGGGCCAGGGCAACCCACCTGAAACTTTCCTGAGCATTTGCCCAGTTCTCTGCTAAGCGCTGGCACTGTGCACAATCAGTGAATAAAGGCCAAGGTGCTCTTGCAGGAACCAAGTGTCTTTGATCCCTCTGCAGGCTAACCCTCATGGAGGGAGTGCTTCGGCTTTTCACATTTTAACAATCTGATCACATTTTTCTGGAATCAACACTTCTTCCACCAGCATCCACGTGCATAGATTTTTGCGGGCAGGAGGTTCGGGGGTCTCCCAAACTGCGCTTGGGGTCCCGGGGACACTCCCAGAGATACTTGAGCGGCTGTGTGTGTCAGAAGACCTGGTACTTGGTGATGTACTGCACAGGACTAGCGGATGCCAGGGGCCACCAGGGCCACCCATGGTAGTACTTTGGGGTTACCAGGGCAGAACCCAGAGGTGTTGGGGCAGGGAAAGAGGAGGGTGCAGGAACCAGACTCAGGCCTCTTGCATACTGGCCATGTTTTCCAACCCTTCGATATATCTTCCCAGCTCCATTTGCCTGACTTAGTTTGGTTTTGGCACCTGGCTGTGCTCAGGGATCACTCCTGGTGAGTCTCAGGAGAACCATATGAGGTGCAGGTGATTGAACCCAGCTGTGTGCAAGGCACACACCCTACCTGCTGCACTATCTCACTTTCTTAAGATGACCACACAGGGCCTTTCTCTGCGATTCCCTGAACTGCTTGCCAAAGGTTCACTCTCCTCCACTGAGCAGATCCACGAGAGGCAAGCTGGGAATGATGTGTTTTCTCTTTCTGAAGCTGTGCTGTTGGTGGCACAGCTCAGAGGCATGCCATGCTGGGGGTGGAACCTGGGCCTCACCCAGGTGGAACTCTGGAGCTCCAGCCCATCACCTGCTTTTATTCTGAGCTCAGCACTGCCTCTGAGGGGCTGCTGCTATTCCACCTGTGCAGGCTCATCCTCTAAGCTGTGGGAAGTCACACATATGTGTGCCCATGACACTTGGACAGAAGGAGCAGAACTGGGCCAACTGCAGCCAGAGTCTGTGGGGGAATCACTGTCTTCTCCCCTCAGATGCATCAACTGTCCCCCACTCCTCTCCCTGCAGCGGTTTCTAGGCCTAGAGGGAGAAATGACTCCAGACACAAGAAATGCTAGAAAAGAGTGACTCGCTGTCTCAGGAGGTCTGATTGGCTCTGAGTAAAGTGAGGAGTTTGTGGAGGGACAGAGAACACAGGCAGTGGGCGTGGGGGCTGTAGAGAAAGTACAGTGGGATGGTAGGGCATTTGCCTTGCAGATGGCTGACCAGGTTCGACTCCCAAACCCATATGGTCCCCCGAGCCTTGCCAGGAGTGATTCCTAAATGCAGGGCCAGGAGTAATCCCTGAGTATTTCTGAATATGGCTCCAAAACTAAACAAAAGAAAAAAAGAAGTGGGAGCAACCAAATCCCCTGTGTCTGAAGTCCTTGCCCCTCCTCCCAGAACCAGGCATTTGAGTATGAATTCGGAGCCATGTATGCCTGGATGCTGTGTGTCTTCACCGTCATCATGGCCTACAGCATCACCTGCCCCATCATCGCACCCTTTGGTGAGTGGTCCCAGAGCCGCGTTTCCCCCAAATCACTCCTAGCCACTGCCCCAAGCCCCCAGGAGGGAGCAGAGGTTCTTGTGGCCAGCTAGGGCTCTCTGCTCCTGACCCACTTCCACAGGTCTCATCTACATCTTGCTCAAGCACATGGTAGACCGGCACAACCTCTACTTTGCCTACCTCCCCACCAAGCTGGAGAAGAGGATTCACTTTGCAGCTGTGAGCCAGGCCTTGGCCGCTCCCATTCTGTGTCTCTTCTGGCTCTACTTCTTCTCCTTCCTACGCCTCGGTGAGCGCCCTTCTCCTTCCTACAGTCCAGAGGGAGGCGGGGAAGGCAATCTTTGGCCTCAAAATCGGGCAACCACAGCAGCCAACCAACCCGCTCAATGCTTTAATAGCTTTCACTCAGTGACCAATCCATAGATAGTATCCCAGCCTGGGTGTCCAAGCAGAAGATGGAACCTCAGAGTAAAATCTGATTGGGGGTGGGGCTGGAGAGATAGCACAGTGGGTAGGGTGTTTGCCTTGCACGTGGCCGACCCGGGTTCGATTCCCAGTGTCCCATATGGTCCCCCGAACACCACCAGGAGTAATTCCTGAGTGCATGAGCCAGGAGTAACCATGGTGCATCGTTGGGTGTGACCCAAAAAATATGATTGGGGGGTATAGTAGGGAATTCAGAGTGAATGCTGAGTATTCAATCAGAAGGGAACATCCCAGAGTGAAGGCTGGTCCAGTGCAAGATTGACAAGGTGGCTTTGGAGCTGTAGTAGTGACTGCCGGGTCCATTCCCCTTTATCATCTCTGGGGCTGCTGAGCTGAGAGGTGGGGTAGCTGGTCCTGGCTGCAGATTGGGGTGGCTGATGGGCCTGGTCTCATATCTCGCAGTGTGGAAGAGGTGAGAACATATAGGAAGAAAACAGATACTCTTGAGTGATAGCAGAAGGTGAAAGAGGTGTTGTCTCTGATGTGCCCCAGCCTAGTAGGGCGAACCATGAGCCCCCTGACTCAGGGCCCCAAAACCTGGAGCCAGCAAGGAAATGGGCAAGTTGTGCTGGACTTGGGCACTAAGTCGGTGCCAGGAAGGCGACAGCTACCCATGGGTCACTGTGCTCTAGGCTGGGGATGTGGTTCCAAAGGGCCACTGCTCCGGGCCGGGGAACTGGGTTAGGGGAATCCTGGTTCCCACCTTCACTCATGATGCTTGCCTGCTCCGGCAGAGGTGAGCCGTGCCCTCTCTCCTTCCTGTGGTGGCTGACATGCCTCTGTCCCCAGGTCTGAAGGCCCCACTCACGCTCTTCACCTTCCTGGTGCTGCTGCTCACCATCCTGGTCTGCCTGGGCTACACCTGCTTTGGCTGCTTCAAACACCTCAGCCCCCTGAACTACAAGGTAAAGGTGCCTCCTGCCCGGACCCCAGTGTGTGAGGTGGAGGGCTCATGCCCACATTTTCCCCACCTCTTCACAAGGCTGTACAGCCTCCTCCAGATATGTCCCCCTGCAGGAAGGGTGCCCAGGGTGCTTCCCTGTGCACCCCTTGCCTTGTTCTGACCTCTGTCCCTCTGAGGGGTTGGGGTAGGCTCTGAGGGGTTGGGGTGGACAGCTGTGCGTGGTGCCCACCGTTGCGCCTGCCAGGGTCCTGCATGCTAACAACCTGCTTGGAGAGCGAGTCAGGAAGATCCGTTATGCGGATCACTGTAAGTTGTTGCTGTTTTCTGCAGACAGAGGAAACGGCGAGCGACAAAGGAAGTGAGACTGAGGTGCCCGTGCCTGCACCACTGACAGTGAGTGATGGTCCCTCCCCACCAAGCCCAGCACCCCAACCCACGGGCCCTGCAGACGTGTTCCCGCCATCCTGTTAGACTGAGATCCCTGTAACGTTTCTGAATGTCCTTTGAGATGTGTCCCCCATACATGGAGGCCACCTAGGAGAGCTGGTGTGACCACTGCTGTGTGCCCAGCCTTGGGGTCTCGGGGTCCTGCTGGCTGTCCTCTGCTCAGTGCCTGGTGATGGGAGAGGCTTCAGTGAGGCCCTGCCTTTCAGGCCTGTGATTCCTTGTCTTTTTTTTTTTTTTTTTTTTTTTTTGCTTTTTGGGTCATACCTGGCGATGCACAGGGGTTACTCCTGGCTCTGCACTCAGGAATTACTCCTGGCGGTGCTCAGGGGACCATATGGGATGCTGGGAATCAAACCCGGGTCGGCCGCATGCAAGGCAAACGCCCTAGCTGCTGTGCTATCACTCCAGCTCCCCTTGCCATTTTTTCATGAGGCTGAGTAGTTATTTGGATTTGCTTATGGACCTGGCGGGACTCAAGGGCTACTCCTGGCTTAGTGCTCAGAGCTCACTTCCGGCAGTGCTCTCAACACCATGTCGGGCTGGGGATCTGCAAGCAAAACATGACATGAGTCTTTTGAGTTGTCTCCAGACCCTTATCCTGGTTTTTGGTTTGGGTTTTGAAGCACCGTAATTTCCAGTACTGTTCATGATAGGGCTTTTGATGATAAGTTTTATCAGGGGCACCTGTCTGCATGACTCCCTCTGCTGGTCACACAAAGCAGTCCCAGCTCAGTTCCCTCCAAATTCAACCAACAGATATGACCCTTGCTTTGTGGCAGGTCCTGGGCGTCTTGTCTCTCCTTCTGGCCTGCTTCCATGATGCTGCTGTGAGACAGGACCCCTATGTTGTGGTGGAGCTGACCTCTGGCCTCTAGATAGACAGGGTGGGCTGGGCGCGGGGCTCTCTAGGCCAGGCTCCTGCAGGGTTGGGGCGGAGTCAGGCACCTCCAGATGTCCCTCCTGGGCTGTCCCAGCCCCCAGGAGAGGGTTCTGATTCTTTAACCTGGTACCCTGTGATGATGCCTGGTAGGTTGGCAGGTGATGTACATGCCTTGTCTTCACGCGTGTATGATCGGGGAGGAACAGTGCCAGATTCTGCCTGGGGGCTGTAGCTGCTCTTAGCTTTGGGGTTAAGATACCTACCCGGGTTCCTTCATGTTGCGGAAACCCTGGCCAGCATGCTCAGCCAAGCCAAGGAGATAGGCCTGTTGGGTGCTCAGGTAGGTGTGCTTCCCTCTGAGACAGGCAAGCTGCTGTCCCCGAGCCTGCAGTTCAGCATCAGAGAGGACAGCACTGTTCTCGCAGCAGAAGCAGACCTACGGCGCCGTCCACCACATAACGCTGCCAAATGCTGCTTGTGCCCTCCACTTTTTTTTTTTGGCTGCATGGCAGGCAAACGCCTTACCCCTGTCTTCTTGCTCTATTCTTCTCCTTATTATATTTTTTTTGCTTTTTGGGTCACACCTGGTGATGCTCAGGGGTTACTTCTGGCTTTGCACTCAGGAATTATTCCTGGCGGTGCTCAGAGAGCCATATGGGATTCTGGAGATCAAACCTGGGTTGGCTGTGTGCAAGGCAAATGCCCTTCCGGTTGTACTATCACTCCAGCCTCCTTAATTTTTTTTTTTTTTTTGGTGGGAGAGGAGGGTGGCACACCAGCAATGCTCAGGGATTACTCCTGGCTCTCTGCTCAGGAATTATTCCTGGTGGGGCTAAGGGGATCATCAGGGTGCTAGGGATTGAACCTTGGTCAGCATATACAAACAAAGAGTCTTACCCACTGTACTATCTCTCCAGCCCCACTGTCCTTAATTTTTAAAAGGTGTCGTTTCTGTATGTTCTGTGGGAGGAGGGGATGGGGGGTGGGGGACTATGGGATCTGGAGGCTCGTGCCCAGCCCACCACAGCACTGACAGATGTCCTGTTTGCTGGCAGCCCTACGTGCCTCGGATCCTGAACAGTTCAGCGTCAGAGAGGACAGCACTGTCCCCGCAGCAGCAGCAGACCTACGGCGCTGTCCGCCACATCAGCGGGACCCTCCCGGGGCCCAGTGTGGCCCAGAGCCCAGAGCCCAGTGGGGCCGAGGCCTACCCAGAGGTCTGAGGGCAGAGCACTGTGAGGCAGGAGACGCAGATGGAGAAGATATTTGGTACCAACCCAGCCAAGTCCAGGACTGACTTCTCCCCACCTACAGGCAATGGTGGACAAAAACGGAGGTAGAATGACTCCAGCTTGGCTCAGGGGCCCACAGTGTGTCCTGGTCCCAGCAGCAGGATGGCACGTGCAGGATGGACTCTTCTTACCCATTCTGGCACTATGATCATCATAAAGCCTGGCCATCCTGGCCCCCTTGGTGACAGTGATGCTCTCAGGTCACAGGAGGGTGTACGGAACCCCCTTCCTTTGGTACCCAGCCCCCTCCACACACACACACACACACACACACACACACACACACACACACGTGCGTGCACGCACGTGCACAGCTGGGAACCAAAGTGCCCGTCATGGGCCGGAACAGGGGGCCATGGCCCAGGGTGACTTCTGCCTTCTCTCTGCGGAAGCACAGCTGGCTGCCTCCAGGGAGTGCAGGTCCCCACCGGCCTGCCTGGACCTGGCACTGCCATGTCTGCTGGGGTCCTGCACCAGTGAGGATGCCAGGTCTGGCCCTTCTCCATCTGCTCATCTTCTTCCTGTGTAACTTGCCTCAGAGCCAGGGGAGATGGTGTGGCGGGGCAGGGAGTGGAGGGTTCCGGGCAGGGTGCGTGGCTGTAACCTTGGCAGGAAGGATGGCAGTCCTGACCCTCCGCTCTCCCCGGGGTTGCAGGGCTGGCCTGCAAATTTGGGTCTCTCAGATCAGCCCGGTGGGCCTACAGGCACAAGTGACATGGTGTGCCAGTGTGTGTGTGTGGGGGGAGGATGGGGGGTATGGCGACGGCCCCTGTCCCCAGTCATGGCCCAGCCTTGCAGGTCTGTGCTGAGCTGCCCCAGGCTGCTGGAGGGCTGGACTCCATCCTGCTGGCCCTCCTGCCTTCCCCCGTGAGGGTCACTGAGCTCCTGTCCCCGATGCAGACCTTTGACTCTCCTGGAGTGAGCCCCGGGCAGGACACACACAGGCTCCTGCTGTTCTTAAGAGTAAAGTCATTTATTATCAAAGCCGTGTTGCTTACGGTGTGGGGGTGCTTACGGTGTGGGGGTGCACAGGGGGCTGGGGGGTGAGCACAGGGAGCCGGCACAGGCAGGGGTTGGAGCAAACTTGTTCCTTGGAAAGGGGAGGCTGCCTCCCCTGGAGAACTCCCTGCCGGCCCCTTTCCCACGGGGTGGGTGTCAGCAGGAGCGGGGCCCGCCGGGTCACTGCCGCTCCCGCAGCTTCACAAACTTGCAGATGTCCTTGGCCAGCAGCTCCGGCTCCTCGAAGGCAGCGAAGTGGCCCCCGCGGGCCATGTAGGAGTAGGAGATGAGTTTCGGGAACTTGACCCTCACCCACTTTTCGGGCACATGCAATAGCTCGCAGGGGAAGGCCGCAAAGCCCGTGGGCACAAAGACCTTCATCCTGCAGGGGTGGCGGGGAAGAGACCCCACTGAGAGGTGAGGCTGGCATCCTGCTCCCCGCCCACCCCCCACAGCATTCAGGGCTGGGGGAGGCTGCCCGCCCATTGGAGCCCTGAAGGACAGAGCCACGGTTTAAAATGACCCCACCAGCCCTCTTCTCGGGAAGGACCACTGAGGCAGCCAGCACCTGTCCACCTGCCCCCTTTCCCTGCTGCCCCGAGGCCTCTGTGACATGGGGAAATGGGGAAAGGGTGTGTGTGTGGGGGGGGGGTCCAGCCTCCTGACCCTTGGGGAGGGCCCTGAGGATATCTGGGACCTGGCTGTGTGCCCTCTATGAGCTCTTTTGTTTATTTTGGGGTTAACCCAGTGATATTTAGAGGTTACTCATGGCTCTACTCAGTATTTACTCCTGGCAGGCCCAGTGATACTTAGGGGTTACTCCTGGTTCTACTCAGTATTTACTCCTAGCAGCCTCAGGGGACCATATAGATGCTGGGGATCAAACCTGGGTCAGCCAGGTGCAAGGCAAAAACCCTCCCCGCTGTACTCTAGCTACTCCACGAGCTAATTCTAAAGGCATAAGGATTTCTCCAAACACCCCAACCTTCTAACCTTCTTTATGGTCAGGTTGGGGGGAGCTTCCATGCAGTGCTCAGGGAATCCTCAGCCCAGCTGAGTCCGCTGTTTGGCTCCCAGCAGAAATAGGGAGCCACTGGGCTGCCCCACCCTTGCTCAGGGGCAGGGGGCGGCATGTAGGCCCTTGGATGAACTTGGTGCTGGGTGGGCACTGAGGGCATAGCATGCAGTGCTGGCAACCAAAGCTCAGCCCTTTGGGATGTCTCCCAGCCCCCTCCATTGAACCCGGTCTTGTCCCACACACCCTGCATGTCTTGGCCCTCCCAGTTCAGCATCAGTGCCCCCGCCTCCAGGGTCCCCCCTCAAAGACCACACTTAGCCAGGCTTACGTCTCATGCTTTTGGGTCAAGATGCCCTGGCCCAGGTTCTCCTTGTAGTAGCGCTGGGAGGAAGTGATGGAGGCTGTGGTCCAGTAGAGCATGATGTTGGTCAGCAGATCATCCAGGGTGTACTTCCTGGGAGAGCAGAACCGAAGGACCACCCTCAGCACCGGTGCAGGGGTGAGAGGCAGGGGCCACCACACTCTGTGCTTCCCCAGTCCCCTGTGGTCCCCTGAGTACCCCCAGGAGCCACCTCTGAACCACCACAGGGTGGGGCCCCCAAAGAAAAGCAACAACAAGCAGCAGCTGTCCCTCCCAGCTGTGTCTGTCCCACCATGCCCAGCTGGCCCTCAGGTCTCACTTAGCTGCCAGGTGTGGGTGGGAGGTGCCACACCTCCCCTGCCCCCCCAGCCACGGGCAGCTCAGCCCAGGGCCACCAGGACCCACAGTGGCTGCATGCCAGGAGAGTTCTGTGCGTGCTCAATGCCATTCTGGGCAGCGTATGCTGCCCCCAGGTACAACGGAGACGGCAAAGGCAGGTGAGGGGAACTGGACTGAAGCACTTTGACTGGACCTTCCTCATGGCCTTGGAAGGTGCCTAAGCACAAGCCTCTTTTGTTCAGGAACCTGTTCTCAGCCCTCAATCCCTCCCGCCCCAAATCCTGGACCGCTTGCAACAGCAACCTGGAACAGGCACGCAGAAAAACTGAATAGCTTTGGAAATAGGATTTGGGGGCCGGTGGGATGGCTCAAAGGGTTGAGCATGTACTTTGAATGTGGGGAGACCTGGGGTCAAGACTCACCACCACCAGGTCCCCAGAGCACTGCCTGATGCAGCCCCAAAGCAAAAATGAATAAATGCAATTTTTCATATGAAATGAAGAGCTTTGGTTTTTGTTATTTATTTTTGTTTGTTTGGTGGTGGCGGGAATCCAGCCCAGGGCTTCCTCATACCTGCAAGGTGCTCTGCACCTTGGCCACGTCCCAGCACATGGCACAAAATGAGCCAAGGAGAACCAAGCAGTTTCAATCAAGTTAAACCCTGTGGCTGCCTTCAGTGTGCTGGCCAGGGGCTGCCTTCTCCCTGCAGCTCCAACCACAGCCGGAAGACGGGCATAACCCTCTGGGGTCAGAGATCTTTCTAGATCTCTGATCACGTCTGTCCCTGAGCAAAGCCTTGCTGCCCCTGTAGCTGGGCGGGGAGGGGGAGGAGGGGACCAAGGGGAGGGTGTAGCGGAGCCTCACCTCTGTGCAAGGTGCAGGGCCCGACCCCGAACCAAGGGGTGCCCAGTGCAGTGTCACTCGGTCCTGGGGACAGACCCCAGGGGAGGGCTGGAGCACTCTTGTCTGTAGGACTGCGTTCCAAGCATGACCCCAATATATCTGAAACAGGTATCCTGAGGCCTCTAGCCTCAGACACCCTTTCTGAGCACACCACTTTTTTTTTTTTTAACAACTTTAGCCTTTGATTTTTGTTTTGCCTAAATTCCTCGCTCTCCACTCTTTTATTTATTTATTGGTTTTTGGGTCACATCAGGCGATGTTCTCCAGCAGTTACTCCTGGCTCTGCACTCAGGGATCACTCCTCACCTTGCTTGGGGGACCATATGGGGTGCTGGGGATCACATGGGGGTCGGCTGCATGCCAGGCAAACACCCTCCCTGCTGTACTATTGCTCTGACCCTCTCCACTCTGTTCCATCTGATAAACTTACTTGTCCCTCAAAACTGGCTCAAATAGATTCCTCTAGCTATTTCCCCTTCCTGCCCTTCAGACAGGTGAGTTCTCCTTCCTCTGAACTTCCAAGGTCCTCTGCATGTGATTTCAGAGCTCATCCACCGTGATGTGTTTGTCCCTCTCATATGTCCCAGCTGCTCCAGCACTGGGACCAGGGCGGGGCCTAGACCAAGCCCCACCTGCAACAGGTGTAGCCCCTCCCCCCACAGTACCTGCTGCCTGTGTCTCGGAAGGGCTAGAGGGTAGGGTGCTTGTTTTGCGCACAGCCAACCCGTAATTTCAATTCTAGTCCCCCAAGCCTCGCCAGAAGTGATTCCTGAGAGCAAGCTGAGATTAAACCCTGAGTACTACTGTTTCTTTCTCCAAAACACCCACAAAATTTGGTTTTTGGTACTACTGTGTTTTTTTTCCTCCAAAAAGGAAAAAAAGACAAAAGGCAAAAAAAGAACTGAAGAAGAGGCAACAGGGCGGACCTTAACTTGAAGCCCAAGCCTGGGTCTGGAGTCATGCAGAGCAGGCCATAGTCTCTGTGCCTCCTCTCCCCAAGCCCTATCCCAGGTTCTCTGCAGCCACTGTCCGGGTCAGCCTCGAAGGGCAGTCTGCTGATGATGCTGCCAGGGTTCGGGAGAGGTTTGGCAGTCCAGGGGTGCTTACTGCCCTGTGCACCATCTGACCCCAGGAGTGGGCTGTTTGCCACCTACACTGCACCCCATTCTGATGGGCTACCCACAGTGGAGCTCAGAGTCTTTGGTGGGTGCTGGGGACTGAACTGGGGCCAGCCCTGTGCAGGGCAAGTGCCTGAATCCCTATCCAAGCTCTCTAGGGCCTGCACCTTATATTTTTGTTTTGTTTTTTTTTTTTGGTTTTATTTTTGAGCTATACTGGCTATGCTCAGGGCTTACTCCTGGCTCTGTGCTCAGGGATCACCCCTGGCCTTATGGCTCAGGAGGCCATATGGGGTGCTGGGGATCAAACCAGGTTTGGCCATGCATCTTACCTGCTATACTATGGCCCTAGACCCTGTGCCCAATTTTTGACCCACAAGGCTTGGACTCATCCAGAAACTGGGGTCAGTATCCCCGAGTGAGACTTTCGGGGTCACCCAATAGTTGAGGGGATGAGGCAGCAGTATGGGTGGGTGTTGGCCGGGGCTGGAGCAGAGAAGACACACTCACCTTTCCAGTCCTCCATCTTCCAGGTCTTGGAAGTCTGGATTGGTCCAGGTGGAGAACTTCTCCAGGATATAGGCAGCCAGGCCCACGGGAGAGTCGTTCAGAGCACAACCTGGCAAGGGGAGGGGTAGGCACGTGGCTCAGGCCCAGGTCAGGGAGCAGACTCTCAGATCTACGGTGGTGCTGGTCTCACGTGTGCTATTATTTTTGGTTTTGAGGGGCCACATCTGGCAGTGCTCGGGGTTAACTCCTGGCTCTGCACTCAGGGGGTCATTCCTGGTAATGTTTGGGGGATCATAGACGGTACTGGGGATTGAACCTGGGTCTGCTACATGCAAAGCAAGTGCCTCACCTCCTGCACTACCTCTTGGGCCCTTAGACTGTGATTCTGAAGGAGTCTCCTATCTCCCTGGCTGGCACTACTTTTTCTTGTGCTTTGGCTACACCTTGTGGTGTCAGGGCTTACTCCTAGCAGTGCTCAGGGGCTTGAACTAGGGCTACCTGGAAGGAAGGGAAGTATCTCAACCCTGTGCTATTACTCAGTGCCAAGACTTATTTTCTTTCAAGGATCCTCATTGCCTTGGCACTGCTTTTTGTTTTGGGCCACACCTGGCAATTCTGGGGTATATGTGGGGGGCATTCTCCTGGCACCATGACTGGGGGGCAATCTCTAGTAGTGCGGTGCCTGGGATTGAACCTCAAACCTGCTGCATGCAAAAGCATGGAATCCAGCCTGCTAAGCTGTCTGCAGGCCTCAGCACTGATTTACCAAACATTTTACCATTTTACTGGTTCTGCTACAGGAAACAGAATCTTCGATGTGTGTTCACTTATACATACCTAGGATTTTGTTTATCTTGTCTGGGGGGACCGCACCTGGGGGTGCTCAGAGCTAACTCTGGCTTTGTGCTCAGGGATCACTCATGGCAGTGCTTAGGGGCCATATAGGATGTTGGGGGTTGAATCTGGGTCAGCCATGTACAAGGCACACGCCCTACCCACTGTACTATCACTTTAGCCCCACATTTTAATATTTTGTAAAATGACAGAAATGGGGTTTAGGGTCTCCTATACTCTGTGTGTGTGTCTGTGTATGTGTCTACTACCCAGACACCCCTGCCACTGTACCAATTCCAGAGGCCCCACCCTGCAAAGCCTCCCCAACCCCTCTACTTATCCTCCGGAAGACATTGGCTCTGGCATGGCAGAATCATGGGGTGAAGGTCAGGTTGAATGCTGAGCCCCTAAGTGCCTCATGGCCACGTAGAACTATAGCTCAAAGGGCTGTAGAGCTCCGGGCTCCTGCGAGAGCTTAACCCCCCCCCCCCGGACCCTATTTAGGGGCTCCGGGAGGCCCCCCCCCATTGGTGCTTACCCACAGTGTCGGGTTTGGTGCACTGGATGTGCATGTAGCCGCTCTCCCGCATGATGCTATAGAAAACCTTCTCCTTGAAGGGGGTCATCAGCTCCATGTCTCTCTCAGTGTAGCCGAAAAACTTCGGGAAACGTAAGGCCAAGGGAAGAGTGAAGAAGTGGATGTTTTTGGAAACGAACGCCATGTTCAAGTGCAGGCCTCTCACGTGCCTGTGGGCAGAGAAGGGCAGGTGAGGAGGGGCTGGTGAAGTGAGGAGGTAGGAAGGGGGAACCCTGTCCCAGCCCCCTTCATCATCTGCCCCTCTGGGGTAGCCACATGGTGTAGAGATGGCTGGAAGTAAAAACAAACAATGTTTCTAGAAAGTTCCAGTCATGTCTGTCCCATCAGTGAAGTCCAGTCCCTGATTGTCCTGCCTCCACCCAGCCCTGCCCTCTCAACCTGGGCTCCCAGCTCAGAATGTGACGTGAATAGCAGGAGGACAAACGTCAAAGTGCCTGGGGCTTGGCCAAGGCCTGGCCAGGCATTGCTCCCTTGGTGCAGACCCGTCCACACACAGGCCCGAGTCAGACCTCTGCAGAAGCCCTCACCTGGGCACCAACTGGGCTATGTTGGTGCAGATTAGGGATCCCCAGTCCCCGCCTTGGATATAGAATTCCTGGAAGCCCAGCCGCATCATCAGTTTGTAAAAGATCCTAGCAGTGGCCACGGAGTTCATGCCTGTGATGAAAGGGAGAGATACCTGGTAACTCGAGGGGGCTGTTGGGGCTCAAGGGAGCTCCTCAACACCCCAACTCAGGGCTGAGGTAGGAAAAACTCAGGGGAGCAGGAATCCAGGAGCCCCAGCATGGCCAGCCCAGGGTGTATCTTAGAAGAAAAGGGACCCGGAGAGATCAGCTAAGCCAGAAGGGTGTTAGAAGGGTGCTAAGAAGGGGTCCTGTGGACCTCAGACCTCCTGAGGTCCTGAGGTCCTGTTTTCTCAGCAGCCTGAGCAACTGACTCTTGCCCCCATGTGTGTCAAACTGAGCAGATACCCGGCCCCTGCACAGAACTGAGAGCCCCAAACCCAGCTCCTCCTCCCCTTCCCCCAGGCTCTGGGAGAGGCTGCGTCAGGGACTCCCTGCTTCAACCTCGGACAAACACAGCCCCCCACAACCTTCCCTTGTGGGGATCCCCATACCCTTCTTGGAGGATGCCTCGGAGAAGCAGTAGCCGGGGATGGACGGGCAGATGACCTCAAACACCAGGTCATCACTCATGCCGTGGCTCTTGGGGTCCGTCAGGAAAGGGATGATCTTATAGAACTCGTAAAAGGAACCAGGCCAGCCGTGTACCATCAGCAAGACCTTTGGGGTGCAGCCCGATGGGGGTTTGGGGGGCTTCACGTGGATGAAGTGGATGTCCAGTCCTGCGGGTAGCGGGGGGACCAGAGAAGAGACAGTGTTGGGGGAGGCTGTAGTCCCAGGGTTGGGCCCAGTGCCCCCTGCCCCGTCTGCCCACAGCCCAGATCACAGAGCCTGCAGACAGGCTGGCTGTGCACCAGAACCAGAGCCCTGGGAGCCCAGGGCAGGTCTGCACCTTGCACTTCCTGGCTCATGGTAGGGCTCCAGAAGTGCACAAATGGGAGCTGGAGTGATAGCACAGCAGGTAGCGTGTTTGCCTTGCATGTGGCCGACCCAGGTTCAATTCCCAGCATCCCATATGGTTCCCTGAGCACTGCCAGGGGTAATTCCTGAGTGCAGAGCCAGGAGTAACCTCTGTGCATCGCCGGGTGTCACCCAAATGCATCATCGGATGTGACCCAAAAAGCAAAACAAAACAAAACAAAAATAAAAACAGAAGTGCACAGATAAGGAGTTCAAATCTGCAGGAGGTGGGGAAGCCCACTCTGGGCAGCAACAATGAATGAAAAAGGGTTTCATATTTTCCTGGGATCCAACAGAGATGGGCCTTTGAAAGGACAGCAGAGGGAGCTGGAGAGAGAGTTTGGGGGGTAAGGTGCTTGTCTTGCACGAGGAGGAGCCTGGTGTGACTATCTGGCACCACAGATGGTCTTCTGAGCAGTGCCTGGAGTAAGCTCTGAGCTCAGAGCCATAAGCAACACAGCATCGCCAGGAAAATCCCCCAAATTAAAAATAAAAAGAAAGACAAGACAAGGTAGGAAATGGGGTGACAACTCAAGTGGTAGGGCACTTGTCCAGTACATGGCAGGTCCTGAGTGTTATTCTGCTACCACACAGCCCTGAGTACTGCTATCTCCAAACCGGCTACCAGGCCCACAGTGCTGGGGGTACCCCAGTGCCCCAAGTACTACCCAGGGTTGGGGGGGCTCTTACAGGAAATATAATAAAAGCACAATATAGATATGTACTTGTTCATTGACTTATTGATATGTGACCCACACCTGGCAGTGCTCAGAACTTACTCCTGTTCCTGGGCTTAGGAATCACTCCTGGCAGTGCTCAGGAGGCCACATGGGGTGCTGAGGATCAAGCCCAGGTCTGTCACGTGCAATGAAAATGTTTTACCCACTGAAATATCTCTCTGGATCTGGTTTATTGATTTTTTAAAAAATTGCAGGGAGGGGGGCATTTTTGGCAGTGCTCAAGGGTGACTTCTGACTTGGTGCTCCTGGGTTGTTCCCAGCAGTACTCAGGGGATAGTTTAGTGTCAGCCTTTTGAGTTATCCCTGCAGCCCAAGATATGTGTGTGTGTGTGTATGTGTGTATACAGTGTTTATATATTTATATACGTGTGTATATGTATATACACATACACACACACACACACATATATTTAACAGAGAAAACAGCTCAGTATACCTTGCTAAGGGGTAAAGATCCATTGTAGGATCCTGTTGTGCAAACACAGTAATCCATCTCTTATGACATTTTTAGGTCACTGATGACCTTCAGCTAGCGGGGCCTATAGAGTCCAGGCTGACAGACTGACCCTTCAAGATCTGTGTAAGTATGCTCTCTGAAGGCCACACAATGGTGGTGTCCCCTAAGATGTATCCCCATCACTAAGTGAAGCACTACCCTATTTATACTGTGTGTGTGCGTTTTAAATCTAAAAGAATAAATTAGGGGTGAAAGTGATCGTACAGTGGGTAGGGTGCTTGCCTTACATGCAACCAACCAGATTCAATCCCAACACTCCTTATGGTTCCCCTGAGCCTGCCAGGAGTGATCCCTATCACAGAGCCAGAGTTAGCCCTGAGCACCACTGGGTATGGCCCCCAAACAAACAAACAAAAGAATAAACTACAAAACGTCATTCTCTCTGAGCAGAATTCAAGTAAATTTTTCCCTTTTTCATCTGTTTCATGGCTACACCCAGCAGTGCTCAGGGACCCATACATAGGGCCAGGAATGGAATCTGGGTCAGTTAACTGCGAGTAAGGCAAGTGCCTTAACCCTTGTACTCTCCCTCCAGCTCCTAAGTGAATTTTCTCTTTCTTTATTTTTTTAAATGGTTAATTTCAGAAGAGATTTTATTCAAAGGATAGAACGAAGGGGAAGTGAGGAGGAAGACTCTAGCGTATGGGAGGGGTTTCCTAAACAAGATCCCCAATCTTTTTTTTTGTTTGTTTTTTGGGTCACACCCGGCAATGCACAGGGGTTACTCCTGGCTCTGCATTCAGGAATTATCCCTGGTGGTGCTCAGGGGACCATATGGGATGCTGGAAATTGAACTCGGGTTAGCTGCGTGCAAGGCAACGCCCTACCCGCTGTACTATCGTTCCAGTCCCAAGATCCCCAATCTTTACTCTTTGAGTTTCTTATACTGTTTTTTCCCTAAAATACTGAATGTCTAACTTTTTTTTTTTTTGCTTTTTTGGGTCACACCTGGAGATGCACAGGGGTTACTCCTGGTTCTGCACTCAGGAGTTACTCCTGAGGTGCTCAGGGAACCATATGGGATGCTGGGAATCAAACCTGGGTAGGCCGTGTGCGAGGCAAACACCCTACCCGCTGTGCTATCTTTCCAGCCCCCCTGAATGTCTAACTTTTTAAAGCAAAAACTGAATGTCCAAAATAGATAGCTGGGCACATGGAAAACAACCTATCAAGGGCAAAGGGACAGATCCTTGGCCCCTCCAGAGTCCTTCTACAAGCTATATCTTTTGGGACAGGAGGCTGAAGGCGTGTGAGCCTCCCCAGCTAGTGCAGTCAAGGCCACTGAACCCCACCGGGAGGTCACTTTTGCCAGCATGCCTGAGCTGGGCATTTTCCACACTTTTGGAACTGCAGACAGTCTGGTCCACAGATGGGCAATTAGAAACCCCAGGCTTAGCTAATGTGCTGGTCTGTTGTTGATCTGGGACCCAAATGATTCCGACACATTCACTGGTGGAAGGAAAAGGGGCTCGGGTGGTATCTGGCTGTCTGTAACCAGCTAGTTCCACTCTGCATCCCCATCTCAGGGTTCTCCCACGAGTCTGCACCGTGAGCGGTACCAACCATACACACAGAGACTGGAATCTCTTCAGATGCTTGCATGGCTCCCGAGTGTCAGTTTCTGCCCCAAGATCCCACTCAGAAAGCTGTGGCACAATGATATGTCACGTCCCCTTAGGATCCTGGGGGCTTGAGACAGTTCAGGCTTTCAAGAAATACTCGGAGAACAAGTTTTTTTTTAAGCAAAAATAGAAGCCAGCATGCATTCTATTTTGGAACCTCAGTTCCTCCCCGCACAATAACAATACATCCTGGGTGTCCTTCACTATTGCTAAATTTACTCCCATTCCGACGTTTATTCCAGTAGGTAATCTCATCTCCCTTGGAATGCACTGGCACGATGTGCGATTCTTTCTCATTCAAATTCTATCACATTATCATTGAAGCTTAAAATTAGCCCAAACCTCACTTCTCCCCAGCTTACATGCTGGCTCTCCTGGGGACGGAACTGGAGTGAGGTTGTGTGAGCCTTTCCACTGAGAAATCTTTTGAACTTTTGAAATTTTTAACATTTAAATTTTTCAAAAAAAAAAAGCAGTGTTATGAGCCCAAACTTCACAATATGCCCACTGGACACCCCCCCCCTTTGCATTAAGGAATAAAAATGCTTCCTGCCCTCCCTCCCCCAACCCACAATCCACAATGTCTGGGCAGAACTGAGGGGCCAAACTGGGCACTAAAGGTGGCACTGGGCCTGGTGGAACAGAAGGTGCCCCAGCTGGACAGTGGCCAGAGATGAAGGAAAGAGGACAGGTGGCAGTGCAGGGAGAGGAGTCTCCACTCTCCCGTGCATGGGGAACCCCCTCCTCCCTATCGTCATGGGCCATTACCCAACTCCTAGGTCGAGGTTTCTGGGGCCCCAAAGATTGCAACTCACTGACAGACTCAGTTCCTGAGGAGGCCCAGAATGAGGTGAGAGCCAGATGCTCCTCACAGAACAGGGAAGTGATAGGGACAGTCAGGAGACAGAAACTGACTCCTGAGGCTTCAGCAGACACAGGGGCCAGAGCGGGACCAAGAAGACAGTGTTCAGAGGGAGGCGCGATGGGCCAAGGTCAGGTTGGGGGGTTCAGGAAGAGATGCAGGAAGGTTGGGAGGCCTGCGACCAAGAAGGGTTTGCTTGACCCAGGAACTTGGACAGAGTGTGAGGTACTCATGGACTTGGTCACAGCAGGATGCTGTCCAGGGTGGACTCTATGCTGGACACAGGGATCACTCGCACCCTGGGAGAGTTTTGTGCTGCAAAGGAATCCTGCAATGTCCCCAAGAATCCTGGGATGGCCGCTGGGGAAAAGCTTTGCCAAAATATACAGCTTCTGGGAGGGAAAAGCCCTTTAGTGCCTCTGGGTTTGAACAAGTGGCTTCTCCCTTCTGAATCACCTTCCCCACTCACCCGAAAAACTCCTATTCATCCTTTCAGTCCCAGTTTAGATTGTCACTTCCTCCAGGAAGCCTTCCCTCACACTCATGGGGGGGGGGGGAGGTAGACGGACCTCCTCCAATGCTCCTATAGTCTCCTTCCTCATACCTCTTAACATATGCTCCTCAGTGCCAAGTGGCCTGTGAGCTCTCAAGGCAGGGATTCTGTTCTCTTTGACTGTGTCAGCAGTATAATGCTGGGGTTGGGGTACCCCTGCCAGATGGACCCTGGACAGCAGGGGCAGCATATGAGCTGGTGTCCATTCAAGGAAGAAGGTGTAATCTGGTACCAGGAATGCAGGTAGAAACCTTGGACAATTAGAGTTGGCGGTGGCTGCCATCCTCCAGAGGCCATTGAAAGCAGAACAACTCAGGGCAGAAAACTAATAGACGGCTAACTGAGCAAGTGGAAGGAAAATCTGAATTGAGGGTAGGTAGGTACAAGGCACAACAAGTAGGGCGCTTGCCTTGTACACGGCCAACCTGGGCTTGACCCCCGGAATCCCTCAAGGTCCTTCAAGCTCACCAGGAATGATTCCTGGATGCAGAGCCAGGAGTAAGCCTTGAGCATCACCAGGTTGGCTCCCAAACAAAGTGCGGCATCTATACTGACCATGGAGTATTCTGGTGTAACTTTTATGTTCAAAAGAGAATATTACAAATTGCTTTGGCTTTCAAAATTATGATACTTAATTTAAAAAAAAATCTAGCTCCATGGGTATGGTGCCGCCAGCAGGTCAATCTGTACCTGTGAGGCGAGTGCATCAGCAGCCTGATGGCGCCTTCAGACTTCCAGGTTCCCCAAAATTGCCGCTGTGCCTTTGGCCAGACCCCAAAAACTTGAAGCAAAGTTTACCAAGAAAGTAAACGGCCAAAAGTTAGGTATGTGGGAGACACACCCACAAACCACCTCCAGCTCAGCTATATAATTGGAGGCATGGCCTCTCTGGTTCCTGATTGAACTGCTTGATGGCCATGATCCCAGAGACTCAGAAACAATTCTTGAAACACAACAGCTTTTGGCAGAAATGTGTCTGGTCCCTGCAGTAGGTTACTGGCACTGGGCCACCCAAGGTGGGAATAGGTTTCGTGCCTTGGCCTGTTCCCCCTGGTGGCTCGGTGGCCGCCATCCTCCAGAGGCCACTGACAGTCAGGTTTGGGCCCTCACAGGATGGGGGTGGAGCCAGCCCTTTCCGCCTTGTTCCAACAAGACCCTGAGTTGCCGCCCACAAACGGCCTCTCTGGCTCCTGATCAAGCTGCTAAACGGCCATGATCCCAGAGACTCAGGAGCAAATCTTGGAACCCAGTAGGTTTTGGCAGAAATCCCTCCTGATTTAATTGTTAAAATTTTGGAATTTCAAAATCGTGCAGATGCTACTGCAGCCATGCAACATCATATGTTATTCATAACCAGCAATAGAAAACAAATTGTCTACTAATGGCTTTTGGGCACATCTGAGTGTTGGGGTAAAATCCCAAATAATAATGGTGGGTCAGGTGTCAAAATACTGAATGTAATCAAAGTAGAGAGAGAGTAATGTGGAAATCAACTGCCCCACAGGTAGGGGGAGGGTGTGGGATGGGAGTATACTGGGGTTTTTGGTGGTGGAGAATGGGCACTGGTGAAAGTACGGGTGTTTCACTGTATGACCAAGACTTAAACCCAAAAGCTTTGTAACTGCTCTCACAGTGATTCAATACATAAAATTATAAAAAATGAAAAAAAAAAGTAAGGTGGAGTTCATGCCCAATTCAATCAGCCTAATCAGTGGCTGAATAAATAGCAGTACTCCTACATTTAAAAAAAAAAAATCTAGCTCTTCACTGGGCATTTGAGTTCAGTTTACCAAAAAAAATTTCTTTTGCGGAGGAGTCACACCTGCTATACTCAGAGGTTACTCCTGGCTTTGCACTCAGGTATCACTGCTGGCTGCGCCTGGGGAACCATATGGGTTGCTGGGGATTAAACCTGGGTCGGCTGCATGCAAGGCAAGTGTTGTACCTGCTGTATTATTGCTCCAGCCCTCAGTTTACAAGTCCTGTTGACTCATCTAATGCATGCTGACAGTCATTCTCCAGGGATCTTTGATTAATGGGTGGTTAGATTTCTAAACTTGCTCAAGGACAATCCTTTAAACATTTTATAATTTCAAAATTTTTTAATTTTTTTAAAATTTATTTTCATGTTTGGCCTTTCATGTTTCATTTATGTTTGGCCTAAATCAAGTGATGCTCAGGGGTTACTCCTGACTGCACTCAGGAATCACTCCTGGTAGTCCTCAGTGGACCATATGAGATACTGAGGGCTGAATCTGGGTCGGCTATTTGCAAGACAAGCACCCTACCTCCTGTACTATCTCTCCATCCCGTAATTACAGAAACTTTTTAAAGAACTCCAGTTGACCTGACTTATATGTCTCCACACATTTTAGGAATTCTTAGAATTTTCTGTTTGATTATTTTGGGAAAACACAAAGGTGCTCAGTGGCTCGGTGCTCAGGGGTGACTCCCAAGGGCGCCTGAGAGACATGTGGTGCCATAGACTGAACCAAGGCCTCCCACATGTGAAGCGTGAACTCAGTCCTTTAAGGATTTTAATAAATGTTAGGCATGGTGTCCAAGTATATACTACCCGCATCTCTCCTTGAGATGTGCACTTTCCTGATGCTGGTACATGTAACTGGGGTGCTCCCTCTCCATGCTGGAGAAGCCAGTGTTCTCTCTTGAGCACATCACGCTCTCTCTTCCTCTCTTTCCTCAACATGTCTAATAAAACATGTTTTTACTTCACACACAAAAAATAGTTATAAAAATACATTTTGGGCTTAGAAATAGTTCAGGGTGTAGAATGCTTGCCTTGCATGCACCAAACGCAGGTTGGATCCCCTATATCCCATTCAGTCCCCCAAGTACCACCAGGAATGATTCCTGAGTGTAGAGTCAGGATTAAACCCTGAGCATCGCCATGTATGACCCAAAAAATAACGAAAAAAGAATTTCAGTGAATAAAATTTATGACTATGATAATCTTTCAGCACTGCATATAAGCTCAAAAAGATTCCCATATAAAATCACAGGCCTGGTGGCTGGAGTGATAGTACAGCAGGTAGGGGGCTTGCCTTACATGCAGTCAACCTAAGTTGGATCCCGGGCATTTCATATGGTTCCCCAAGCACCTCCAGGTGTGATTCCTGAGTGCAGAGCCAGGAATAAGCCCTGAGCATTGCCAGGTGTGGCCCCCAACTCCCCCACCCCTGCCAATTTACAGGCCTAAATCTATTACTTGTTTTAAATTAGAACTCAAAAAGTCTTATCTGTTACTCGAAAGGGCCAAATTCTGTCCAATGTTACAAATACTTAAAATTCTAAGCATGCATCATTTTCTCAACATAAAAAATTAATAGTATGACAATATAAAATATTTGCAAATTACATATTCCATAAGGGATAAATATATGAATATATAGCAAATGTATATAATTGGACATTAAAAATACAAAATAAAACCAGCGTCAGAAAGATAGTACAGGGGGGGACTTGCACGCAGCTAACCCCGGCTCAATCCCCGGTAAACACAAGTCTCCTGAATAGCACCAGGAGTGGCCCCTAGGCACAGAGCCAAGGTAGGCCCCAAACACCACCCTGAAAACAGAAACAATTCCATCAAAAAATAAAATAAAAATAAACCACCTGAAAAGACATTTCTCCAAATAAGAGACACAAGTGGCAATAAACGCACGAAGAGATGTTCAACATCATTAATTAAGAGAAATACAGATCAAAACCACAATGAGGGCTGAAGTGATAGTACAGCAGGTAGGCATTTGCCTTGCACATGGCTGACCTGGGTTTGATCCCCACATCTCCTATGGTCCACCCCAAGCACTGCAAGAGTGATTCCTGAGTGCAGAGCCAGGTGTAACTTCTGAGCATCATTGGGTGTGGCCCCAAAACAAAACAAAACAAAAAACCCTAAACAAAACAACCAGAACGAGCTACTCCTTTCTACCCCATTATGCTGGTTACTATAAAACCAGCACCACAAAGTAATGAGTCCTGGCATAGATGTGGAGAAACAGGAACTCTTGCACACTGCGGAATGGAATGTAAAACAACACAGCTACTTGGGAAACAGTAGTGTTTCCTCAAGCATGTCAACAGAGGATTATTCGACCCAGCAATTCTTCTTCTCGGTGGATGTGCAGAGAGCTGAGAGCAGAGCCAAGCAGCTCTCATGCACACATCTTCCCTGCAGTATTGCTCACAACAGCCAAAGGGCAGAAGCGATGGAGGGGTCATGGCCAGTTCCAAAGTGGATGATACCATCCATGGGATGGGTGGGGGTGGAACAATAGCAGCCTCGAGCGCCATTCAGGGGCACTTTCTGTTTGTGGGTTTAAAGAAGGTAGATTTCCAGCAGTGATTTCCGCCCCCCCCCCCCTCAGAAAAGGGGGCCGTAGGCCAAATAAGTTTGGGAACTCCATGAGGTCAACAGAATGTACTAGACTATACAATGGATGGTGACTTAACTTGAAAAACAAAGAACATCTTGGCCAGTGCTAAAACAGGATGCTGGACTCCCTGTGACATGTGGCCTGGTGGCTGTTCAATTCCTGGGCAGCAACGGTAGAATTGAGTCACCAGGGCCACACCTAGTAGTGCCCCCCTTTGAGCTATCTCGCTGATCCCATGAAGACTGTTCCATTGACTGGATACTACCTTCCTTTAGTTTTAAAAACCTGGATGTTGATATTTTCCTATCTCTAAAGGCAGCTGGATCTTTTGGGACTTGGGGCTTAGATCCATGATAATGGTGATAATAAAATGATGCCACACCCAGAGGTGCTCAGGGCTTTCTCCTGGCCCTGTGCTTAGGGATCACTCCAGGCAGCGCTTGGAGGACCCTATATGGTGCCAGGGATTCGAATCAGAGTTGGCTACATGCGAACTAAGTGGTACAATCTCTCTGGCTCTGGAATTATATTTGCAGACCCTTGAGGTTAAACCTACAAGGACACTGTAATGACTAACAATCAGATCCTGCATATCCCCAGGTTTTGTCATGTCATTCTGGGGCGCATGTGTGTGTGTGTGTGTGTGTGTGTGTGTGTGTGTGTGTGTGTGTGTCCCACTGGAGAAGAGGGAAACCTACCTTCAATCTTGGTCTTGAAGTGCGGGTATTTGTTGAGAATCTCCACCTGCTTCCTCCAGTCAAACTCATTCTTCCAGTAGGTGATGACTTTCTTCAGATAATTGATGTTGAAGCCGTAGTGGAAGCGACTGTCCTCCAGAGGGGCCGTTAAGCGGACGTTCTCCAGCCTCCTGTGTAAATCCTGGGGCCCAACGAGAGAGGCCATGGGGAATTGCTCAGGAGAATGTTTCCAGAATTGAGCAGCTGTTTTCTGTGACCTTGACCTCTGAGGCCAGAGGAGGCCCTACCTGGCACCCTGTCTCTCACTGGACAGTGAGGAGGGCCTTGAGTAGGGATAACAAGGGGACCTGGACGAGAAACGAAGGTAGAAGGGGTAGGGCGGGGAGCTAGGGAATGTTCCTTATTTCTGCCCCCGTTCCGTTCCTGTCCCCAGTCCCCCCAAATCTGGGATAGGGGTCCTGCCCTGCCCTGCTTGGGAAGGGGTGCCTCACCTTGATCTCCTCCTCCGACGTTTCCACCTTGAAGGGCCGGATGCTCTCGTCCTCACCAGCTGTGGGCCTCACCCCAGGCCCCCACCACCCATCCTCCATCGGCAAAGACTCCTCTTTATCCCCGCAGAGGAACCAGTAGATGGCATAGCCCAGCACAAAGGTGAGGAGTATTTCCAGCAACATGGTTCCTGGGAAGGGGAGACACCATGAGTCAGGGGTCACTCTGCAAGACCCCTGAAAACACCTAGTACGAAAAACTATAGGAGACAAACATCTGTATCAGTGAGCTACGAGATTCCTTCCCAACACTGGGAAAGGGGAACCACGTTGACTTCTGCCCAGCCCTGGGTGTTGGGGCTGCAGTTCTGAGCCCCTGGTTTCCCTGAGGGGCTTCTGTTCCAGGGGCTTCAGAAGCTTTTCTCCAACCCCCCCCCACCCCCGACTCTCTCCCCTAAGGGGTGACAAGGGACTTCTCTGAGCTGTGGGCTCAGGAGAGAAGGCAGCTTCTTACTCAGTTCTTGGGGAGAGGGTGCCTGTCAGGGTGTAAAAGGGGAGTAAGGGGGTAGGGGGTCGAGGGTGCAAACCAATAATACAGCTGGTAGGGTGCTTGCCTTACATGTGGCCGACCCAGGTTTAAGCCCTCGCATCCCAATGGTCCCAGGAGTGATTCCTGAATGCAGACCAGGAGCACAGCCAGGTGTGCCCCCACTGCCAACCAGAAAAAGAAAGAAAGAAAGAAAGAAAGAAAGAAAGAAAGAAAGAAAGAAAGGAAGGAGGGAGGGAGGGAGGGAGGGAGGAGGGAGGGAGGGAGGGAGGAAAGAAGGAAGGAAGGGAGAGAGAAGGAAAGAGAGAGAGAAGGAAAGAGAGAAAAAGCAAGCAAGCAAGCAAGAGAGAAAGAAAGAAAAAGGAGGGAGGGGGTAAACTCTAAATAATAGTGGTGAATCTTTTACTGAAACAATGAATCTAACCAAAGCAGATAGAGTGTTAACTAGAATTCATCTGCCTCACAGGGACTGGGAGGGGTGGGGGGTGGGGTTTTATTGAGGTTCTTCATGGTAAAAAAATAAGTATTGGTAAAGGGAAATGTGTTTGATATTTGCATGACTGAGACCTAAACCTGAAAGCTTTGTAACCTTTCCCACAGTGATTCAATAAATAAATAAATTAATTTAAAAAAAAAAGAAAGAAAAAGGAGTAAGGGGGTCTGAAGAGCTGGGTGGGTTAAGTTCAGTTGTGGGGGAAGAGCAGGAGGCAAGGTAGCCCCAACAGGTTTTTTTCCCCCTTGGATTTGTGTTTTGGGTCATACCTGGCAGTGTTCAGAGGTTACTCATAGCTCAGTGCTCAGAAACCAGGTGACATCAAGGAGTGTGCCCCCTGCATTAAACCACTGAGTTATCCCTTCTCTTTTGAGGGGATGAATTGGAGTCACATTCCATGGTGCTCAGGGGCTGCTCCTAGTTCTGTGCTCAGGGATCACTAATATGTGGAGCCAAGGATGCACTAGTGTTGGCCACATGCAAGGCAAGTGCCTTAACCTCTGTCCTATCTCTCCAGCCCTGTAATTTTTCTCACATCATTAAAAAAAAAATTTAGATGAGCGGGCCAGGGTGAGAGTATAGTGGGCAGGCATCTGCATTACACACAGTTGACCTGGGTTTGATCCCCAGCATCATATATGGTCTCCTCACTCCAATCACCACCATGAGTGTTCCCTGAGCTCAGATCAAGGAGAAAGTCCTGAGAACCCCTGGATATGGCCCCAAAACCAAAAGATGAAATAATGAAATAAAATCGATTAAATTCACATATTCTACAATTTACACCTTTAAAGAATACAAGCCGTAGAGTTCATGCCCAATTCTATCAGCCTAATAAGTGGCTGATTAAAATAGCAGTACTCCTACATAAAAAATAAAATAAAATAAAAATAAAAAAGAGAGACTGACAAAAAAAAAAAGAATACAAGCCATGATTCCTAGAACAGTCATTGACCTCCAGCACAAAGAGACGCCTCTCAACTAGCACCTCTCTGTGGTCCCCCTGCCCCAGGCTCTGCACCGACTAATCTGCTCTGCCTCTGTAGACGGGTCGATTCCATGTCCCATAAACTCAGCATTCTCAAACCCATTTGTGACTGCCCCATCTTCTTCCAGCAAGGGAACACAGAAGAGCTTAGGCCTGCAAACCCAGAGCAGATGACGTTCTCAGAGCACTGTTCCTGAGCTCCTCATTTTCCACATTCCCAGAATGGTGACCCTGAAATCAGGAAAGCGCACAAATCCAGCCTCGTGCTGGAGCCCACGGGGTTTGTGGGAGGCAGGGTGAGGACCCAAGGGGAAGGAGACAGAACGGTGTCTCCGAGGAGCCTGGGCAGCCTGCCCAGCAGCCCCTTCCCAGACGGAGGCAGGGTGGAAGTCCTTGTTGTCGAGGCCCATCCCAGAGACCTCTAAATTCCCCACACTGGGGCCTTCTTGAGGCCTTGAGGTTTGCTCCTCCAAGAACTGCTCCCCTGAACTGAGAACTTCAGTCACTTGGGGGGAGAGCATGCCCTGAGAGTCTCAGGGTGCAGAGAGCCTATAGGCACCCACCCTTTTCTGCAGCAAAGTTAAACACCCTGCTTCTGCCTGTAACCTCACTGGCCCTCCCAGCCCCCACATTCATCCATGAAACCCTCTTCAACTCCTCCCTCCAATCCTGATGCCCCTCATCAGCTGTGGGCGCCTGGGTCTTGGCACTTGGATCATTGCCACCCTGTGGGCTCTGGTCCATACATGACTGAATGTCTCTCTGACATGCCAGGTTGCAGGTGTCTGCCCTCGGAGTCAGAGGCAGGGCACTGGCATGTGATATGTGCCCTCTCCTAGGTTGGGTTCCACCATTGCCACTGTCCAGCCCTCCTCCCTGGGTCAGCTGAACTGAATGGTGGCTGGTATCCGTGCTGCTACAGTTTAAAGAAGGCCAGGGAGAGGGGTGCTAGAGTGATAGCACAGCAGGTAGGGCGTTTGCCTGTCACGCACTAGACCCAGGTTTGATTCCCAGCATCCCATAGGGTCCCCCAAGCACCGCCAGGAGTAATTCCTGATTGCAGAGCCAGGAGTAACCCCTGCACATCACCGGGTGTGACCCCCCCACCGCAAAAAAAAAAAAGGCAGCCAGGGAGGGCTGGAGTGAGTCTCTCCCTGTTCAAAGAATTTGGAGGAGAAAACTCGGAACTGGTTTCATTTTTTCAAGATAGATCCTTTGTATGCAGCAGAGAACATGGAGAAGAGCGAGCTTCTCCCCACTGTGGTATGTTTTTGTTATTTGGGCAACACCTGTGCGTGCTGAGGGGCTAGTCCCAACTAGGCGCTTGGGGAACCACACAGTGCCAGGGAGGGCACCTGGGGCTCTGACATGCAAAGTATGCATGCACTCAGCCGTGGAGCTCTCTGTCCCGCCCAGCCACAGTGGCGTTTGAAGGCAGAACTAGGCTAAGGGCTGGGGAGCATGCATGCGGGGAACCCTTGGCAAGAGTGCGGCAAAGTGAGCTACCCCACTGGGTTTGTCCTAGTCACCGCCCGGCATAACACCTTGCCCAGCAAGGTATGCTGTGGTATTTGTGCAGTGCATGCAGGACAAACAAAGGAGACCAATCTTGCACTATGACTTCAAGAGAGCTAGCTGCAAGCACAATCAACAATAACAAGCATCAATTTCTCTAGCCTCCCTCTAGAATGAGACAGACCTCCTCCTTACCTGACTTCAGCAGACGCCTAGAGGACCCCTGTCACTCACTTCTGGGATACAAATAAATGTTCAGTCTCCGTTTTTCTGGGCGAGATGATTGATCCCCGTGCTTTAACCATACACATGGGCTCCCTCATACTGCCCTTTGATCGCCTCATGGCCTGCAGGCGGGGCGGGGCTAGTGGGGCACGGCTAGCTGGGCACCATCCACCAGGGGCACAGTGGCAGGTTCTGCCGACTCAGCTGATCCTATGTATGTACAACATGGTTCTCTTCCTCTGGACTTCAAGCAGCAAAATAAACTTGCCTGACCCAGAGAGAGTGTTGAAATGACTGGTGCTGGAGAATACCATCTACATGCAGGGAATCCAGGACAAAGGGCACCGCAATGCCATGTCAGCAACAGCAGGGTACTGCAGCGAAATACTGATTCAAGGAGAAATGCCAAAGTCCTTTCTCTCACATAGTAATTAAGGTCAAGGGAATATTAGAATTTGGCTCAGCAGTGGTGGTTTAGAGTCACCAAAATGCAAACTTTGCCATAGTGTGTTCATTTGCCACTTATTTAATAGTGGGGAGTAAATGCAGGGGAAAGGAAGGTGTTCGAGGTTGGCAGGGTTACCGATTTCACCTGGTTATCATGGTCTCCACTGACCACCGTGGGTTTCACTGTCTGAGGTGGGCTTTTATAACATATATATATATATATATATATATATATATATATGCACAAGTTACCCACTCAAGGTGCCACACTTCGTCAAACTAGCTTTTCCTTTTCCGTGAGGGTGGAGCGGTGGGGTGGTACACGTTGCAGTGCTCGGGGCTTAGTCCCGGTGCTTGGGGTCCATATGCGATGCCCAGAACAGAACCTGTTTTGGACGCGTGCAAGGCAAATACCCTGCCCGCTGTACAATCGCTCCCATTCCTCCACTTACTCAGGCAAGAATTGGAGTAGCCAGAGTCTCGCCCTAAATCACAACTCAACAATGAGGGCTAGAATTTGTAATCACGAAGCTGGAAAGGGAGTATATCGCATGGTTTGCAGGGAGGAGACCTGGTTCTATCCGGAGCCCTGCCCGAGCGGGTAGTAGCCTCTGAGCACCGCAGGATATGGTGTCAAAGCAAACAAACAAACAAACAAAAAAAAAACAAAAACAAAAACAAAAGTAACTACAACCAACCAAAAATAACTAAAACTTCATTTCCCATCCTGGGTCATTTCACGCCAACAGCTTATCTCCTCTCCGCACCTGTTCTCGGAGTCGACTTTTACACCGGCTTTGCACAGGCGCACCACGGATGCGCTGGGGTGGGGCAGAGGGCGGCGGCGGCGTTTCCCACCGCTGCACATCCCATGAAAACTGAAATAAACAAGAGCTCCCGCTTCCGGCACGAGGAGGAGCTGCGGCCCAAAGCGGAAGCAGGTGCCGGAACAGCAACCACGAAAAGAGGCGGGGCCTCCTCTCACGGCCAATCAGAACTCAGAGGGCCGCTCCGCCCTCCCTCCTCCTAATCCCGCCCCCGCGGGCAGAGAGCCGGGGGTCGCCCAGGTGCCCTGCGGCTGGGCCCACCGAGTCGGGCGTGCCCTCGGACTCGGGAGCTCACTACCGCTTCTTAGCCAGTCAGGGCTGCTGCTTTGTTTAGAGTAGGAGGAAAGAGAAGATGTGAGGCTCAGCAGATAGAACTCAACTTCTTAGTACCCGCGAGGGGGTGGGCCCCACTGGGCGCTCATTCCCTGCCCCTCCCACATTGAACTAACTCCATCTTGTGTTTCAAAGTCCCTCTACTGAAGTACTGACTAGCAAACGTCCGTTTCCTGCTAGGCACGACCTCTGAGAACTGTGAAAAGACCGTTCTTGTTTTCTCTCCATGAGACTATTTTAACTGAAAGCCTGTCCTGTCCTCCCCTTGTTCATCGATTTGTTCCCACGGGCCCAGTAACGTCTCCATTGTGAAACTTCTTGTTACTGTGTTTGGCATATTGAATACTCTCGGTAGCTTGCCAGGCTCTCCGAGAGGGGCGGAGGAATCGAACCCGCCTTGGCCGTGCTCGCTGCGTGCAAGGCAGGCGCCCTAAGCTGTGCTATCCGCTCCAGCCCACTGAAAGCCAATGGGTAAAAAGTAATCCTTAAACTAACAAAGGAGAGGAGGTGCTCAGGTGCTACACCTGGCTCTGTGCTTACTCCTGGCGGTCCACAGGAGTGAGGTTGCAGGGGATCATATGGCTGCAGGGGGTCAAACTGGTGTTGGACACATGCAAGGCAAATGCCCTGTCTGATCTCTGGCCCCAGATCTAAGATTTTTCACATTTCCTGTGTGTGTGTGTGGGGGGGGGGGGGGGTTGCTGGGGTAGAAGGGGGATGCTTGAGCCACACCTAGGTATATGCAGGGCTTACTCCTGGCTTTGCACCCAGGGGTCACTCTTTGGGGATTTGCAGAGAGTTGGGGAGGAGTAGTCAGAACCTCAGCTAAGAACCCCTGTGATCAGTTATTCAACTTTAGATGGGTTAATCACCTAGAAGTGCATTAAAGTCGATTTGAGACTTAAGAGGTTTGGGGCCTTCAGGGAATCTGCATTTCTAACCATTTACAGGTGGTCTCAGACTACACTCAGAAAACCTTTGCTTCAGTCTAGATAAATCTTTCCCCATAAAGCCAGTGACTTCCCCATGCACCCACCCCGTCCTGCAGCACTGGACCGATTTCCCCTTGGTTATCATGGTCTCCACTGACCACGTGGACATAGAGGTGCTTGGTCTGCATATGGTGAAGCAAAGCCAGACTCGGGCGGGAGCACCGATTTAGGAGGGCTGCGCTGGGCAGTCACCACCCAGATGTTCTGTTAGGAACTTGGAGGGACCTCATCACAGGCTCCCCCACAGTCTTTATGCTGCTCCCCAGCTGTCCCAAGGTACCTGGGCTTAGCTTCCTAACTCAGTTGCTGCCAATTCAGAAGTTAATACAGGGCTGCGCAGACAGGTGCATGCTTTCCTGCAGCCTACCTAGGTTCCATTCCCGGCACCACATAGGGTCCCAGAGCCCCACCAAGAGTGATCCCTGAGCATAGAACCAGGAGTGAGCCCTGAGCACCGCTAGATATGGTCCCTCCTCTGATCCCCTCCCCATCTACAATTTAATGAATATAACACACTAATTTGGAAAACAACCCAAGCATGCAGGCTCTGAAGGGAAGACCACAAGGCCCCTGGAAACATACGATCATCACCCACTTTTGGTGTGAAGTGAGTCAAATCCATTATCTTGTGAGTTTAGGGAAGCACCTGTTGCTCTGGGCTCTATGCTTAGGGAATACTTACTTCTGGTGGGGTGCGGGGGAGTATATGTGATCCTGGGGATTGAACCCAGGTCAGCCCAGTGCAAGGCAGGCACCCTACCTGCTCCAGCCCCTTGTTTCCCTCTTTGAGTCATTCAAATCCCAGCTCCACCATCTGTGAGCTGAAGACCACTGTGGTAAGTCATCACAGACTCTGTCTGGCCTGGTGTGTCTAATGATAATAATGCCAAACGGGTCTCATTCCCCTGACCCTGAAAGAGCCCCGAGCACGCCACTGGGCTACGCTAGCACACTTCAGGGACAAATGGACTCGTTCGTTACTGGTGCCCGCTAGAGCAAATTGATGATCAATGGAATGACAAGTGACAAGTGACAATGATCCTAAGTTTTGCCTTGCTCGGTGCTATGCTTAGCTAAGATGTGTTCTTTTTCCTTCCCCTAATTCCCTTCTGACTGCAAAGAACCTTCATTCTGGAAGAGCCCCTAGAGGAACCAGTGTCCCCATCAGATTACTGAGCCCAGGCCCCAGCTCCCTAGCTCCCTCTTTGCGCGTGTAAATGGGCTGGAAGCAGGAAAGTACACGGTGTGCCCAGCTATGGTTTGGGTGCATCTGCTGGCTAAGATGTGACTCTGTGACTCAGAGGGAAAAAAGCACAAGGCTTTACATGTGTCTAGCTACCGGCTTTCTCTACCCCTGGGGCAGCCACTGTGCCTCTTTTCTCTAAGATGAAAAGCTGCATTCTCAGCATTAGGGGGCAGAATTCTCTTTGCTAAGCCTTCATGTTTCCAAGAAGAGTGGTATTTATCTCTTCTAGGTGGTCAGCTCTTGCTGGGCTAGGAAATATTCTAACCACTTCAAAATATCAACAGGAGTGGGGACACTGAAAAATCCAGAGGTAATGCAATATATATATAAAAAAAGAAAGAGTTCTGAGCTCTGTGGATCCTGGTGATACTGCTGCTGCTGATCTCTGGCACATCACAGCTAAAAAGTGCACAACCCCTGGTCACTGAGACAATAAAATGGGATGGGCCACTTGCCTTGCACATGGTGAGTGCAGAGCCAGGAGCAAGCCCTGAGCACTGTCAGGTGTGGCCCCAAAATTTAAAAAAAAAGCAAATAAAGAATAAAATGGGAAAGGAAGTGGGGTAGAGGAAAATACATACATACATATACATACACATACACAGACACACACACACACACACACACACACACATATATACATATTGGGTTTTTAAGGCTTTACTATTTATGTTTTTCAGGGGAGGTTCTACCTGGTGGAGCGCAAGGCTTACTCTTGATTCTGTGCTCATTGTTGGAAATGCTAGGGATTCGAACTGGGGTTAGCACTATGGAGGGCAAGTGCCTTACCCCCTGTACTATCTCTCCAGCCCCTATATGAGTTTTTTTTGGGTGGTATTTTGTCTTTGTTTTTGTTTTCTCATAATGCAGTACTGTGGGATACTGACAAAATATTTTGCTGGAAGAACTGGGAGCTTTAAAAGGGCCTTCCTTTCTTCTGGAGCGATAGCACAACAGGTAGGGCATTTGCCTTGTATGCAGCCGACCTGGGTTCGATTCCCAGCATCCCATATGGTCCCCTAAGCACTGGCAGGAGTAACCCCTGTGCATCACCAGGTGTGACCCAAAAAGAAAAAAGAAGAGGGCCTTTCTGAATAAGGACATTTTTCTTTTTTCTTAGAGATGCAATTTCTCTTTCTAAAAATAATGATTAGCTTGCTTTGTGAGGAAAATGAAACTTTGGTTGTAAAGTAGGCTGATTTTATTTAAAAACAAAACCCCCACTGTAACTGAAGGCTAGCTGTCATTAATGGT